TGGATGACATTTAAATTACTAAAGCACAGTTTATTAAAAAAACAATTGCCATATTTTTTTTTCCCCAAAAATACTTGTTTTTCCTTCATTTCATCCTTTGTCAAATGCATCACCCACATCCAATATATAAAGTGGTGGAATTAAGTTAGATCTCAAAAATTAGCAATAATAGAATATTAAACACTAAAACAAAATTAAAAAGGTATGTTTACAAAAGCAAGAATTCTGGCAAACAAATTGATGAACTTGATCTTCTGTTATTTGAGGAGCACTTTGACTTTGTGGAAATACTAGGAACCTGGTTTGACAGCTACCATGGCTGGGGTGCATATATCATTGGGTACAGCCTATTTCAGATGGGCAGAACTAGTAGAGGAGGTGGAAGGATATGTATGTGTGTGGTGAGAGATGATTTTGTTAACTGAACAAGAATTGTGATGGTGCAGAGTCATTATGGTTAGCGCTCCATAAAAGTTCCACAAATAGTAAATTACTTATGGGAGTATGTCAGAACAAAGAATAAAGAGGAGTCTCAGCTCCATTCATAGATTGAAATGGCTGGGAAGCAGGGCAATATTATTATGGGTGATTTTAATTATCCTGATATTGATTGGGCAAATGTAACTGCACCGTCAAAAAAGGCTTGCCATTTCCTTAATGTACCGCTGGGCAATTTTTATGGAACAGACGGTGAAAGCCCCAACAAGGAAAAATGCTCTGTTGGATCCATTAACTTCAAATAAGCAGGAGCTTATTACAGATGTGCAAGTTAGAAATAATATGGGTAATAGTGATCATGGATCAATCACATTTGCCATAAGTTACAGGAAAGTAAAGGGTGTTGGTGTGACGAGAAATCCAAATTTAAAAAAAGCTAACTTCAATAAGCTGAGATTCTTACTGCATGACACTCAACTGCATGGCCAACTATTTGCATCAAAACAGTACACAAGGCAAGTGGGAATGTTTAAAATATGAATTAAACAAGTCCATTGGTCTTTGTATTTTATTGGTTAACAAGCATAAAAGCAAGTTAAACCTATAAGGCTAAACATCTAAAAAGGTAAAAAAAACAAACAAATAAATTAGAAAAAAACAGGCCTTTAAAAAGTACAAAATAGAAGGGACAACCTCGGCATTCTAGATTTGGAAGGAATGCAACAAGAAATAAAAAGGGAGCAATATGAGTGGCTAAATTAGAATATGAGAAACAGAGCAGAAGTAAACAATTCACAGTTTTGGAAGACACTTCAGCAAAGGAATGGATTACAACAAAGTGGTATTCCAGTAGCAGCAGGAGAGGCAAGTATTCACTTTATACTTTTACAGCTGCAGTTTCGTTTAGCCATATTCTGTATGCAACAGATTTATTTTTAAGGAAACATACTTTTCTGACCTCTCTTGCTGAAAATTCTAGTGACTCTTGTGTTGGGCCTTTGATCTGCATACTTTTGAGACAGTGACTCAGAGTGTGGACATCAGTAGTTCTTGCTTGACTCGAACATCATTGTCAGGGCTCCCAGGTATGACCAGAGGTGTGTGACTGAAGCAGGGAAACGCAGACTTCAGATATGTGATTAACAATGTAATTTATTAACACTAACAATACAAACATAAACGCAGTGCAATACTACTAAACATAATACAGTGCAAACAAACCCAACCAACCACCCACAGATAACAGTACATACAAACAAGCGTCGTCAGGCAGGCCGAGTCAATATCAATTGGGCAGGTAGGTACAGGGGGATCAAGCAGAGAATGGTCGGGGTCACAGGCCAGGTTCAGCAGGTAGCAAGCAGCGTAGTACAGAGGGTCAGGCAGAGGGATGGTCAGGGTCACAAGCCAGGGATCAGAACAGGTAGCAAGCAGCGTAGTACAGAGGGTCAGGCAGAGGGATGGTCAGGGTCACAAGCCAGGGATCAGAACAGGTAGCAAAGGAACAGAAACAGGATGCAGGACAGATACAGGGCCCAGGACAAACACAACACCAAGGCAGAGTCTGCAAGTCTGGCCATCCCTTAAATACACCAGTATCATCAGTTCCAGGTGTTAGCTGGCTGAAAGGTTGAGTCTCTGATTGCTGGGAGCACCCGCTGGCCAGCCCTGGTACTGCAGATCAAAAGGCAGGTGAGTCCCACCATTGCTGGCCAGTCCATTCCTGACAATCATAGGTTGTATACATGTCCTAGTTTAGCGAGTCAGAAAGTATTGAAGTCAGGAATAGCCATGCAATTAGCATTTTAATATAAAAATCAGCAATGGCAACCCTCATATTTCTCAGCACAAAGAAAACATTAAGACCTAAAAGATGGTATTCATTTTTATTATACATAGCAGAGAAATGGCAGCTTGCAGCTTGGGGTTGTGAGTTTAGACAGGGTCTCCTTTGTGCATATGTAGGTTTCCTATCACAGTCCAAAGACATACAAGTAGGCAATTTTTGACAAATCACAGCAGTTGTGGAAATAGTTGAAAGGGAACACGTTATTTTACATATTGGAACCATTCCAGTTTATGTACACTGACTGGTCCTATTAGGGCACTGTCTGCTGGTGGTAGAAGGCGATTTCTCAGCTGTCCACTCCTAATCTTCGCTGCAGTGTATTTGGTAATAAGAAATAATGGAAATAGGAAGCGTTGGAAGAGATGAAGGGGAATATAATAATTTGAAAGTTCATGCACATCTATGTACAGGTATGCATTGTTCACTAGAAAGTCAAACCTGATAATGAAACAGACATGTTTCTGTATTTTTGAAATTCTATTAATATTACTGTTAAATTTTGTTTAATTTCTACAGAAAATAAAGCAATTGGAGAAATCATTCCTTTTTCCTCCTGTGAAGACCACAAATTCTATTTGGACCAAAAATAAACACACAAGTAATGTCCAAAAAATTATTGGTGGAAATAACTACAGGTTAGAAAATCCTATCTGCTTTGTAATTCATTATTTAAGTTAAAGGGTCTACCAAGAACAGATGTGTGAATGCTGACAAAACTACCAGCCATGTCCTCTTCAGCTGCAGAATCCCATTTCTCTAACTGCTTTCCCATTAATATACAGTAATAAAATAGAAAAAAAGGGAGAGTGGGACCTCTCCTAATAGTGATTAATGCCAGAGTGGGCAGATTGATAAAACATTCAAAGATCTTATCTATGGATTCTGAAAAGATAAAGCAAGCTGCCGTGTAATCTATGTGATCTATCCTAGGTGGATCCCAGCAAGAATACATCTACCTAAAACTGATATTCAGTTTAAATAAAAATGTGCAATATATTTTATTTGTAATTGGTATATTGAGCAATTATTAAACAAAACAAATTTTAGAAGTTGTGAAGACCCTCCTGCTGTTACTGGTCCTATAAAAAAAAAAAAAAAAAAAAAAAAAAAAAGGTGGAACTGTATCAATTCCTTTTTAGTTGAGGACGTTTTTGACCTTCTAACCAATTCCTGATTACGTCCCAGTCCCATTGGGGCAGACAGGCTCTGCAGGGAGCTAAACATCCTGCATAAACTCCCATAAAGAATCCAGAAGTAGGTCAATAATACCAACATTACTGGATGAAAACATTCCAGTAACTGACCAGGCAAACTATTGTATTACACAAACTTGAAAGCTGTCCGGTAAGCGGTAAGAAGAAAACAAACAAAACAAAAACAAAAAAAACAGAAAACAAAACAATGATGGCCATCAGTTGTGAGCTGCAGCCAAGTATCCAATAAGCAGCCCTTTTGTTGTCAGAATCAGTCTAAAATCAATAATATACAAAGTACGGTGCTTAAAATAATCATAAAATAAACTTAAAAGTCCAATCCATAAAGATAGAGGTATAGGGAATAAGCCCCTCTTCCCTGGATCCTCAGTGCTACTATAGATGTCTCAAAACTGCCAGGAGGAGAAGATAGAAAAAGCCACCATCACCAAACACACTGCCTCTTACCAGATCATATTGCCCCCCAGTTACGGATGGGTGAAAATGCGCTGTATGAAATTCAAAAAGCAAGCCGTGGACCTGGGCACTCTTTGGTTCCAAACTGTCAAGCAAAAATGAACTCGAAGGTACACCTACAAAAGAATTATCCTCAGAGGACAACCCCATTCAAAATGCAAAAAGAATCCTCATAGTGTAGTATAATAAATAGAATTAATTGCCTCAAACGCAGTATAGAAATGTACATGAGAAAATGTAAAACCGCATGTCACCATGTAGATAAATGGTAAGTTTCAAACAAGATGGCAGCCACGTTCTGGTGCGCGCTGACGTCACGTGCTCTGGCTCCTCCCTACGCGTTTCATCAATGACAGTCAGGGGCATGGTCAGCATCAGGACACAGCGCATACTTATAGGGAGGAGGAGAACTGCCTCCCCCTTCATTCTAACCGGAACCGGAAAGAAAACATTGGGCACAAGCCCCAGGATCGCAGCAGCACATCCTGCCATCAATACACAATCAATAACCCAAAACAAAAATGCTTGGAAATGATCTTACAAGTTAACTAAAAAAAACTTATAATTGGCCTTTACATGCCATAGAAAAAAAAAAAGAGAGCGAGACATCACGTTACCAGTCGTAGCGCAATCTGGTGTTCATAAAAGATATGGCAATTACTAATATAATGTACATGAGAACATCAAAATATTTTATGACTTAACCACCTTCCGCCCACCATATAGTACAATGACGGGCGCAAGGTGGTTCTCTCGTTCTGATAGGACGTCATATGACATCCTTCCATTCTCACCGCGCATGCGCGGCTCAGGGATCGCGCAGCGCGGCGATCGCCGGTGCGCTGTGTCCCTCGAACACAGCGGATCACGGAAACAGCCGAAGATGTCAGCTCGGTAATGTGATCAGCTGTGTCCAATCACAGCTGATCACATGTAAACATGGAAATGCCGGTTATTGGCATTTCTCTCCTCTCGAGCTGTCACGCTGACAGCTCGAGAGGTGAGGAGAGCCGGTAATCGGCTTTCCGCGGAGGGGACATGTACACTGATCATCAGGGCACTGATGATCAGTGTGGCCCCAGAAGTGCCACCTGTCAGTGTCCATCAGTGCCAGCAGTCAGTGCCACATCAATGCTACATCAATGCCACATATCAGTGCATACTAGTGCACATCACATGCATCAATGCACATATCAGTGCCCATCTGAGCTACCTTTCAATGTCACCCATCAGTGCCAGTCAGTGCCACCTATCAATGCCAATCAGTGCTGCCAATCAGTGCCACCTATCAGTGCCAATCAGTGCCACCTATCAGTGCCAGTCAGTGCCGCCTAACAGTGCCAGTCAGTGCTGCCTATCAGTGCTGCCTATCAGTGTCATGTATCAGTGCTGCCTTTCAGTGCCCATCAGTGATGCTTGTCAATGCCCATCAGTGCAACCTACCAGTGCCTCATCAGTGCCCATCAGTGCCACCTATCAGCGTCCATCAGTGCAGCCTATCAGTGCCCATCACTGCAGCCTCATTAGCACACATAAGTGAAGGAGAAAAATCACTTATTTACAAAATTGTATAACAAAAACTAAGAAACTTTTTTTTTTTCAAAATTTTCTGTGGTTTTTGGTTTAAGAAAAAATAAAAATTCCAGGTGGTGATTAAATACCACCAAAAGAAAGCTCTATCTGTCTCAAAAAATGATAAAAATTTCATGTGAGTACAGTGTTGCATGACCGCGCAATTGTCAAAGTGTGGCAGCGCTGAAAGCTGGAAATTGGCCTGGGCAGGAAGGGGGTATAAGTGCCCTGTAGGCTAGTGGATAAATTAAAAATAGATACAAAAAGTACCATAAATAAAACATCTCCTGTTGACCGAAAAAAGTAAAAATAGTTAAAAAGTAACCAGAAATACCTATTATTGATGAATGAATTAATTTTCCCATTCAATATTGAGACCGTATGGCGTATATGATTTTAAGGTGTAAATCCACCATACTTCCAATTTAGAGATCTCTCGCTTGGTGTAACTGCCCCTCCAGTTCTTAGAGAATTTGTAAATACCAACAAACAAGGTTCCCTCAGGGTTCTTATGGTGAAGAGCATAATGCTTAGAAACACTGGTTAGGAAAACCTTTATATTGGCAATATGCTCTTTTAACCTAGTTTGTGGTGTCCTAACAGTGCATCCTATGCATTGAAACCCACATGGACATTGGATTAAATAAACCACGTTTTTTGTGGCCCAGGTGATAACATTTTTAACCTCAAATGATTTTTGTTAGTAATCATGGAGTGGAAGGTCTGAATTTTCCTATTTTTGCATATACTGTACACCTTCTACAGGGGAAATAACCCTTAATCTCATGAAACAGATAAGGTTTCTTAGGAGGATCTATAACATTGGGCGCTATGGATAATCTCAATGGAGGTGCCCCTCTGAAAATAACAGGAGGGACCTCCGGAATCATGGGACCCAAAATTTTATCATTCCATAATACTCCCCAATGCCTCCTAAAAATATTTTTAATGTCATAGTATTGAGTGGAGTATGTGGTAACAAAGGCAGTTTTAAATGACTCAGAATCTTTTTTCAGGCTGGGTATTAATAACGAATGACGGGGGAGGCAGTTCTCCTCCTCCCTATAAGTATGTGCTGCAGCCTGATGCTGGCCACACCCCTGATGACATTATTGATGATGAAACACATAGGGAGGAGTCAGAGCACATGACATCACCACGCACCGTAACGAGATGGCCATCTTGTCGGTTTGAAACTTACCATTTATCTACATGGTGACATGCGGTTTTAAATTTTCTTATATGTACGTTTTTTACTACATTTGAGACAATAAATTCTATTTGTTATACTATACTATGAGGATTCTTTTTGCATTTGGAACAGGGCTGTCCTCTGAGGATAATTCTTTTGCAGGTTGTACCTTCAAGTTCATTTTTGCTGTGACAGTTTGGAACCAAAGAGTGCCTAGGTCCACGGCTTGCCTTTTAGAGATCATACAGCACATTTTGAGCCATCCGTAACTGAGGGTCAATATGATCCGGTAAGAGGCAGCGTGTTTGGTGATAGTGGATTTTTCTATCTTCTCCTCCTGGCAGTTTTGAGACATCGATAGTCGCACTGAGGATCCAGGGAAGAGGGGCTCATTCCCTATACCTCTATCTTTATGGATTGGACTTTTTTGTTTATTTTATGATTATTTGAGGAGCTGTACTTGGCATAATATTTTATTTATATTGTTGCCTGCAATATTGTGGTGGCTGCTCATGAGGGTTGTATTTCTATTTGTATAATTGTATACCATAGCGCAGAATTATAGAGGAATTTTTTTGAGTCTAAAAGATGTCTTTATAGGGAAAATTCTACATCTTCCCTTATACTGTACATTCTTTCCATATAAAATCTTTACATATCTCAGTTTTAAGCCTCATAGCACAGCTATTGGTCATTTGGATCAGACTCCGCAATTTTAGCTCTCCTTTTCAGAATATATTTTCCTTCTAGATTCTTGACAGAAGAATATTTCCATGGATTTAAAAGTGGATTTTCAAAACAATTTAGTGACAAATGTTTTCAAAGACAAATGCCAAGTTTAAAAGGCCCCTATCAACACCAAGCACTTAAGCAACAGCCCATCACCCGTGCTGATGAGAATGGTAAGCATTGACTAATTAGTTAGTCTGGTAATATTGATGTTAATCATACATCTGTGAGATAAGCAGATTATAGTGAGTGACGTTATGTTTCCCCTTTATTAATATACTACTTTAATATTCCACACCCTTTTACACAGAATAGTTTCAACATGTATTTCTCTGATGACACCAGAACAATAGTCACAAGTAACATTCTGGGGCCACATTAGGCAGAAGCCATTTAACTCAACTGGAAACTGTGCATAAAAACAGAAACAGAGCCTCAGAATCTGTGTAGTAAACTCAGACAAGGAGTTCAATGTAGTGTTCCTCACACTGAGAAAGAACAGTTATGCAGGCTTGGCATGCTTACTGACTTAATGAACTTTAAATAGCTAAATGACTGACCTCTGTGCTACATTAATATACACAGCTCAAAAAAAGTACACACTTTGAAAACACATCAGATCTCAATGGGGAAAAATATCATGCAAGAAATCTTTACTGATATGGACTGAGTAATGTGTTAGGAATGTAAGGATGGCCCATTGTGAGATGGAAATGATCAACGTACAGGAGGACTGAATTCAAAGTGAAAAATGATGCAGCAGGCTAATCCATTTTGTTGAAATTTCATTGCAGCAACTCAAAATGGTACTCAGATTGTATGGCCCCCCCACGTGCTAGTATGAATGCCTGAAAAGGTCAGGGCATGCTACTGATGAAACAACGGATGATATCCTAGGGTATAGCCTCCCAGATCTGGACCAAACCGTAAAGTGAGATCATATAAAGCATGTGTCCCTTTGAGTCAGGTATGGATGGAATTGGTATCCAGCTGAATTGGATCCCCTTCACTCCTCTAGTAGCTCTCCTCCGCGTTACGCTACCAGGTCATGTGGCTTCATCTCCCTCATGAAGCCACGTGACCCGGTGGCAAAATACATACAGGAGAAGCTTTGACATCATGACATTTGACGGATCTAGAGTGACACCAGCAGGCTGTATACAAGATATCACCACTGCTAGCAATTCATGAGGCACTATATTGCACAAAGTGCTTGTATATACTACTCATGTGAGTGTAACAATTTTATTATTAGATGCTTGTATAAGGATAAAGCACTATGAACTGGTTATTGCTCTTAAAATACCTACCAATGGAGGAGAGCTACTAGGAGGAGTGAAGTGGATCCAATTGAGCTGGATACCAATCTCATCCATACCTGACTCAAGCAAAAGGGACACAGGCTTTCTATAACCTCACTTTACGGTTTGGTCATACACTTGATATGAGAGCACAACCGGTGGGGGTGCACAAGTTTTTAAAGTGACTATAGACACTTAAGGCGGATTAAGAAGCACTAAATATATAGTACTACAGTGAAACAAGAATTTGTAGCAGCTTATACAGGCAATTTGTTATTTTTTTTATGGTGAATTTATGCATATATTGCACTTATATCAATTCTGAGTGCAGTATTATACTATAATTTTATAGCTTGCTGAAAGTTGAGAGCAGCCCATTTGGTATTATTAAAAAAAAAAAAAGAAGTCTAGTCACTTGGTTCCTGTGTGGATCCAATGGTTTATAATACCTTTTTCCAATTGCTGAGCTCTGTATATATGAGCCATAATCCCTTTAGGCACCCAAACACTTAGTGATAAGAAGGGCTGTTGCAGTCAATCAAGTACGATTTGCGCTCAATTAGCTGCTTTTGATTGTGAGGGTCTAATAGAGCCCCTGATGTCCGAGTACCTCTCAAGTACCAAAGCTATCACATAGGGGGTGTTTTGCATTGCTCAGGCAGGGGCTTAAGTTTTCTTCAGACAAAAATCCCATCCTAGAAAATCTTTTGCCAATTTAGAAGCTGCACTATAGATGACTTCTGGCCATGGATGCCCCTGAAAAGCATTGTGTTTCTAAGGCCAAGTTCCAAGCAGGTATAGCAATTGCATTGCCATCCACTCAGTAATGTTTTCGTTATGGGCTAGGTCTGGGTCATCACCTCTTAGGTCTTTGATATTTCCAACAGAGAACAAGAGTCCCTAGATTCAAGCAAGTGTTGTCAGGTGCTCCCAACAGCAAATCATTTGGAATCTTAGGTTTGTATTGGAGTGACCTGTTGGGCAAGGCAATGCAAACTATTGCAGAAGATTTGTCCCATTTCAAATAGCAAGGTCACTGACCCATAACAGGCATGCAGCAACAGAAGTTAAGCCTGCTGACTTGTATATTTACTTTAGGTAATTGATAAAGTATGAAAGCATTTATATCAGCATGAAAAGGCAGAAAGCTAGCATTTTCAGAAAACTTCAGCACAGGTTCTCTTTAGCCACGGTCTTTTGGGCCATTTTAAAAGCATAGTTACATCAGTAAAACCAGTAGGACACAATTGCTACAATTTAGTTGACTGGAGACAAACTAGATAGCAGAACAGTGTAACTGAAAATCTATGGCTTAAACCACGGATGGTTTAAAGGTTGGCACCATCCTAATCATCTGTGTATACCATGTGGTAGCTAGGCATGAACCAGAATCTCTAGGTAGTAGTGTTCAGAAATTATTATTCTACAGGATTTATATAGCATCAGTTTGCTCAGTGCTTTACAATATAACAGGAGACAGTACAGCAACAATACAAGAGGGATATGAGGACCCTGCTCCTTGGAGCTTACAATCTAGGAGATAGTTGGTAGTAAAAAGGAAATATACAAGGCATTTTATCTCCTACACATAATCATAGGAAATAATTGTTACAATTTACCACAACATGACATTTGCCAATTTTGTTTTCCAGAAACTTCTTGCAGAACCACAAGTCCCAGCAGAGAATGTCCTGCATGGGAACCTCTAACATACACAGCACTGATGAACTCCAAGTCTTCTATAACTGTACCAGGAAGAGGATATTTCAGACATGGCCAACCACCCCAGTGGCTTGTTGACAGCTCTATAAAACCAGCATTTAAAAAAAAATGCTAAAAACATTAAGTGCATCTAAATGCCACTCTTGTTTGGCTAGAGTGAAGGTTTAACTATTGAGCTAAGCCCTAATTGTAAATCATAAATCTTTGGCAAATAAATCTATACTGGACAAGGGTGCATTTCCCTACACACCATCTGCCCAGTTGACAAATCTAAAATATATAACTTTTATTCAAATATTTAAAAAAATAAATAACTAGTGCTCAGCTGTAATTCCTATTGAAGTGGAATGTACTGCACCTAATATAACTGAATACCATTGCAATTATTTACATTACATGCAAATAGTTAACACCAGGCAAAATCAATTACCATACTTTAGATGAAGCAACAGCAAACAAGGCACTTCAGTTTGATCATAAACCTATCAGTTTGAATATATAATCTGTTAAGGAAATGGAGTTACCCCATGGACAAGACTAATTAGATTGTATAATCTATCTTGCTACAGATATGTAATATGGGTACACTCATCCAAGGGCTTAAAATGTCAGTTCCTCAGGGATAAGCCCCATATGTCACCATATCCAACAAAAACCTCACTGTCATGAGGCATGCAAATTATGCACTGTAAAAACAGTGCAGACTTTTAAAAAAAAAAAAAAAAAAAACCCACCACACACTACATGTTTCGCTCCAGAAAACAGAGCTTTTATATTTGAATGAAGGTTATATGTTAGATTCATCAATTGGCCAGATGGTGCATAGGGAAACGTACCCTCATCCAGTATAGATTAGAGTGAAGGTTTAGCATCGGTGTCCATTTTCTGCCATCTGTGTACCCTCTTTTGGAGGCTCATCCCATTTGTCTAGTGGGAGACAGACCAGGACTGAAACTGTATGAAAATGTTAATTTCTGTTGTCTGGGTCAGAACTTGGAGAATCTTCCAGTGGGAACACTTAATATTGACAACTGTTCAAGATTTGTTACTTGCAATGTCCTAACTTTGGTTTTACCTTTAACTAGCACAAAGCTATTCTATTGATGAGTTGTTCGATTAATACCTTACTGACTTCAAGCCCAAAGTTTAAGCAGAAAGTACACAACATGTAACCATAAGCCAAAAGCTTAGGTTGAAAGTCATGTTTGCAAGCTTTTTAAAATTCTTTGTGATGGACAAATACAATGAATAGGCAATGGTCTGCATAGAAGGACCTCCTTAAATTTGGTTTACTGCCTTCAGTTCTTTAGAAAAGTCCTCCAACATGGAGAGGGCATGGAATAGGTTTACCACCTTTTCTGCCTGTAGCAACTCTGTAGCCTTACATAAGGATCACAAGTCTACCTCTTAGAATGAGGTTTTACAAATGAAACCCTGCATAAAAACAGTCTGCAGATATCTGAAACCAGTATTCAAGAAACCAAGTTTAGATTTATTAAGTTATCAGAAACAAGGCATTACATAGAGAAAAAAAAAAAGAAAATACTGTTATACACTAATCGCAGCAGATGTTCTTATACCCCAAATCAGTTCTTTTATAAAGCCATTTTTGGACTCTGGTATAGTGTTAGTATTCTTCATCTTCTTCCTCTTCTTTAACAGAGTCTGTTCCCACACTTCTTCGTAATCTTTTTCTAGAGCTGCCATATCCTCCCTTGCTTCAGAGAACTCCCCTTCCTCCATGCCCTCTCCCACATACCAGTGTACAAATGCTCTCTTAGAATACATGAGATCAAATTTGTGATCTAGCCTTGCCCAGGCTTCTGCAATGGCTGTAGTGTTGCTCAGCATACAGACAGCACGTTGGACTTTGGCGAGGTCCCCTCCTGGAACTACAGTAGGAGGCTGGTAGTTTATTCCCACTTTAAATCCAGTAGGACACCAGTCTACAAACTGTATAGACCTTCTGGTTTTAATAGCAGCTATTGCAGCATTGACATCTTTTGGTACCACATCACCTCTATACAACAGACAGCAAGCCATATATTTACCACGGCGAGGATCACATTTCACCATCTGATTTGAAAATTCAAAACAAGCATTTGTGATCTCTGGGACAGACAATTGCTCATGGTAAGCCTTCTCTGCTGATATTATGGGTGAATAGGTGACCAGTGGGAAATGAATGCGAGGATAAGGCACCAAGTTAGTCTGGAACTCTGTCAAGTCCACATTCAATGCTCCATCAAACCTCAAAGAGGCTGTAATCGAAGAAACAATTTGTCCTATCAGTCGATTTAGGTTGGTGTATGAAGGACGGTCAATGTTCAGATTTCGGTTGCAGATATCATAGATTGCTTCATTGTCCACCATAAAGGCACAGTCTGAATGCTCCAGAGTTGTGTGGGTTGTCAGAATAGAATTATATGGTTCTACCACTGCAGTAGAGACTTGTGGCGCAGGATAAATAGAGAATTCCAGCTTTGATTTCTTTCCATAATCAACCGAAAGACGCTCCATCAACAGGGAAGAGAAACCAGAACCTGTGCCACCTCCAAAGCTGTGGAAAATGAGAAATCCTTGAAGGCCAGAGCACTGCTCACTCTGCAAACACAGAAAAATAGGTAAATGAAAAAAACTTCAGGTACCATAGTAACTACTTTAGGCACTCTGAACACCAGACATTGATTAACTGAGAGATCTGGTGCATACACCCTTCACAGAATAAAGAGGAAGTAAGCTGAGAGCACAGCAAAATGTGCTTAATACCATTAGCAGGGCTCAAAATTCAAGTCCTGAGCTACTAGCCAGGCCTTAAGAGTTACTTGCCACCAGTTGCCCCACCAAACCCCTAAGCATGCCCCCTCCCTGCAGCCACATCCTGTAGCCCCCCCCTTCACACCCCCACCACCTTGTCCTCTCACCCACACACACACACACACACACACACACACAATTTAATTGATCTGACTGATAAATCAGGATAAAATGAATAAAAGTTACCACACACCTACTGGTCCCTCCACACTTGCCCTCAGCTCATTTCCAATGTCCTAATTGAGCAGGCAAGAGGAAATGTTGGGGGCTGCCATTAGTGAATATATTCTGTGCTTTTAGACTCAATTTCCGTATGCCCCACTTGCATGAATTGTTTTTGTGTGTTGTAGTGAACTAAATCAGGTTATTGTTCAGCAATATGCCAACATCTAGTGGAGATTTTGCCCACTTAAACTTGTTTTATGATGTTGGTTTCCCCCTGTCCCCCCTTGCTGTTTAGGGTTACTTTAACTTATCTAAGCCCTGTCTCTGCAAATCACTGACTGAGGAAACCTAGCAGAAATGGAGGATCTAGCTGAAACTAGCCTTCCACTTCAAAAGAAAACATCCTCTGAACTTCAGTTAGCTGAAGTAAACTGCATTAAATTCTACTTGGGTGGTAATGAAGAGGTAAATCTTTCTGTGAAAGGTGCCAAGTCAGCAGATAATCATATGGTCTGGTCAGACTGGGTCTAAGAAGGTATGCAAATACATTTGAAACCAATTTTAAAAGGAAAAAAAAAAAAAAAAAAAAAAAAGGCAAGGCGAGGGAGCTTCAGAATAAAGCTTTTCACAGCATGCAGGAATAGAGCTGAGGCTGTCAAAGAAGGGGGGGGGGGGGGGTCCCTTCCCTCCAATCAGCTCTCGGAACTCCCCTCACTGAGCATTGCAGAGTAACTTCAGCTCCCTGCCCCCTGCTTTCTGAAATCCCAGACACATTGTAGCCATTCAAAAGCACAGAATTTATACAGATACCACAGGCAGAACTTTTATAGGAGGCTTTGTTTAATCTCAATCACCTGAGGCTAGTTACCTCACTGGGTATATGCAAGCAGTTTCAACCACTTTAGAAGTAGGGAAACCATATGTACCAAGGCAGGAGCTAGATTCTCAATAGCAGTAATCCAGGTAATTTATCCAGGACAGATAGCTAGTAAATTAGGTGCCTTGCATTAGCAGATAGGGGGGGGGGGCGGGTGGAAGCCCACAAGATGGAAACTGTCTCTTGTGGGAGTCATTAGTTTACATCCCTGCTGGATCTGGCCCTCTACCTCATTGTATAGACCAGTGATCTCCAAACTTCAGCTCAGGGGCTGGATGCAGCTCTTTTCTTTTTTACAGCCCTTGGAGCATTATTCCCCAAACTGTCAGCAACAGTGGGGCATGGTTTCGGACACCAACAATGGGGCACTATTCCTCACACTGAGGCCAAAAAGGGGCACTATTCTCTCCCCTGGGCTTCCCCCCCCCCCCCCCCCCCAATACCAATGCTGGGGCATGGTTTACTCCCACTTGCGCAGGAAATTCTCTACTTCCAATGGCCACAGTCCAGCCCCCATAAAGTTTGAAGGACAGTAAACAGACCCTTTGATTAGGAAGTTTGGAGACCCCTGGTATAGACCGTCACATTCAAACCAGTAATAAAGCCAATGTATCATCTTAAATCACTAATCTTTTTTTTGGATGTTAAAATTTGAAAAGCTGTTTGAGGAAGGCACACTGATATCTGGTATCTTATGTCAGGACCGGGGCGGACTAACAACTCATGGGGCCCCCGGACAATAGCGGATCATGGGGCCCCCGGACAATAGCGGATCATGGGGCCCATGTGTCCTTGCCCAAAGTCAAAAAAGCCTATGAAAAAGGTACCAGGGGCATCTCATGGGGCCCCCTACTGACCCCAGGCCCTTGGGCAGTGCTCGAGTTTCCAAATTGTCAGTCCGCCCCTGGTCAGTACCATACTCAATTCTGCCAGGCCGACTTCAGTCATCTTGATTGAATTTGAACCATCTACATACATTTTAAGATACTCACAATATGTGCTAGTGGACCAGCCGGTTCCTTTGTTATAATGAATGTTTAGTAACATTTTAAGTCTACCTAGTCTCCCACAGTAGACAGAATATGGAAATGCAATTCTTTTAGTAACTATAAACTGCTAAATACCTTCTCATCAGCAGTATATAGCAGTCTTGTGACCTCTATCCGTGTCCAGCAGAGCACTGGTTAAAGCTTGTTGGAGGAGTTTTCTTTGCTCTAGGAGTATGCAGAACTCCTGACTTGTCTTGACAGTGCTGATTGGCCCTGTGTTGATAACATGCACTCTCCAAGAAAAAAACCCCACACACCTCTCTAGCAATACCCAAACTGAGCATGTGCAGTGTGATTCCACACAATATATCTCATCAGGAGATAAGAGGGGGACACTGGAAGGGGAGGATCAGAGAAGTCAGAATCAAACAGCCTTTTTACACAATGCAGAGGATTAACCCCTTAAGGTCCACAGTATAACAAGTATGCTTTACTGCAGACACAGACTGATTTTAGCATTGTGGGTTTAGTAATACTTTAATGTGATTACTGACAGATTTTTCATGGCCTATATTTCCCCTTTTCTTACAGGATTTAGGAGAAAAAAACCCACACACGCACAACCACACTTAATGTTTAGCCTGTAAGCCTCAAAAGGGTGAATGTACAGTCATACCAACTATCAGAAGAGAAGGGGGAAGAATCTAGACAGTTATATTCTGGGATGTGTAGCTCCACAGCCCTTTCAAACTTCCAGGATTCCATGACAAACATTTTCAGGCATTTCAGGGGGGGGGGGGGGGGGGGGGGGGGGGGGGGGGGGGGGGAAAAAAAAAAAAAAAAAAAAAAACCTACCATTTTACGTAGTTTGTCCAAAACTGAATCAATCAACTCCTTTCCAACAGTATAGTGACCTCGAGCATAATTATTTGCAGCATCTTCCTTGCCACTAATGAGCTGCTCAGGATGAAAGAGGGAACGATATATTCCATTTCTGATCTCGCCTAAAGAGAGAGAAAGTGTGATCTTGATTAAAAAAAAAGTGTTTATAAAAAAGACAATTAACTTTTTGGTCTTTAACCGTCCTTTTGCCTAAAAAAAATTGCACCCAGTCTTTTACTCTGTTCTATTGCGCATGTTAAACACACACATTTATGAAGCTGCAATGTACCTAGCTAAAGTTAGTTTTAGCAAAAAGATTTAGAAATGAGCATCATTGTAGCTCCAAGCAAAGCAGAGGCATAGAACACCGCTTCCCCCCTGCAAAAGTTAAATGGAGAGCTTCTGGCCTAGCTGATGCTTCCCTTACATTCTGGGTAATATAGCACTGATGAGTCACTGCCATTTGTAAAGGATTAGGTTGCTATTGTCAACTTTTAGGACCAAGACCACTCAAAATGACCAAGCTTTGAAGATATGACTTGGGATGGGGGGGGGGGGGGGGGGGGGGACACTTTTTTTTCCCTCTTTGCCAATCAACTTCCAAGCTACAGCAAAGCACAATAGCAATTGTGGGATCTGTGCAGTTTAGCATAAGAACTACCCAGCCATTACTGTAGCCAAAATCCAAGCACATCATACATGGGAGCCATGGCTTGACAAAAGACACCAAGATGATAAACTGCATGAAGTTTGTAGTGGTCATACAAGGAGATCTCAATGGGTAAGGGAGGTGAACAGATTACCAATGCTAATGGAACAAAGATTTTACATTGGCTGCTGGGAACCCAGCCTTTTATAGCATAAAAAAAAAAAAAAAAAAAAAAAAACACCCCACAAAAGTTTAAAAAGGCCAGCCAATGCATTTATGGTTCCGAAGAATTTGGTTTGGCATGTTTTGATATTTGCTGGGACCACAAATGTGTTGCCATTCATGTATGACAAACCTGAACCTCATCCCCCAGTTTAAACAGCTTCCTGACTGCCCTATTGCAGAAATACTGCTACAGGGCAGCACGGGTATCACGTGTACACACTTTTGCATTACCGGGTAGGGGGCATGTGCAAACCGTGCACCCTACCCATGCCACCAATCACTGGGTCCTGGCTGGTGATTACTTGACGGCCCCAGTGATTGCCGAGGATCTCCAACAGGGAGGAGAACTGTTTACTAACAGTTCTCCTCAGTCAGCTCAGGCACACGGACACCACCTAGTAAGACACTCCCAGAACACAGTTAACCCTTTGATCACCTCATGTTAACCCCTTCCTGCCCAGTGCCATTAGTACAGTCTGTACTTTTTTTTAGCACTGATCACTGTATTGGTGTCACTGGGGATGTACAGTGATCCACAAACCCAGAAGGAAAGACTGGTGAAGATGGAAGCCCCAGCAACACATTCTAGCACATTATGGCACAATGAAAGCGTATATGCAGAGCACAAATAATGCTTTAATATACTAGCGTTATAAGTAGATGTATACCATAAACAGATCATCCTGCGTATACCATAAACATATTGTGCGTAGTAAACAGATATACTCCAATAAATACCAAATATACATACAAAAACTTGCAAATCCTTGTGTGTCATAAGTGACAAATGCATGTGCCCAAAAGTGCGTTGAAATTATCCAAAATTAAACATATGTCCATCAAAAAAAAAAAAAAAAAAAAAAAAAAATTTAGAATATTTTAACTCCTTGACACAGTCACACAAATATGCGGTCTCACGGAACTAGGCTTTTTTCAGTGGGGCTGCATATTTGCGTATCTGTCTTTGTTCTGGGAGCGTGCTCCCAGCACAGAGACCGCGGTGCTCTAACGATCGGGACCTGGGACTCCCGATTCCGGGTCACCTGATCACGGATAGCCAATCAGAGGCTATCACAGCGATCAGTCACTGAACAGCCTGGCCATCTTGCTTATTTTCGCTCTGTGAATGGAGAAGAGAGATACATTGCATCTCTAACGCCTGGCATAGAGAAAAAAAAAAAAAAAAAAAAAAAACTGTAAAAAAATAATACCTAGATCAAGGTTTGATCTAGTTCAGTGCCAGGGTTTGTGTTTGGGTCAAGGGTCAGGATTTAGAAAAAAAATTGGTGTCAGATAGTGTTAATGTCAGTGTGTTTTAGGTAAAAAAAAATTTAAAAAAAATGCGCACTATTGTTTCTGGGCTGTACTATGGGTACAAATAACACATATATGGTATTGCTGCTATAGTCAAGAGCTGGAGAATTTATTTTGGGTAGTTCTTTGGTGGTAGGTTATGGTCGTAACAAGAAACAGATAAAAACATTTTTTTGTACTATTTTGGGCCATTTGGGCTTCGATAAAAAAAAGTAAAAAAAAAAAAAAAACCCCACACAGGAGCTATCCATTACCATTTACCAGCAAATGAAAGCCCAATTTGTTCTGAAAAAAAAAAAATCAAGGTATAATCTACCTGGATGTACAAAGCAGTTGTGATATGTACTGTTTTACTATCACATGTCAACGTTGCAGAATTGTGCTTAGGCATTTAGATTTGTTTTATCCTTAGGCGTGAAGGGGTTAAGTTCCAAATTAATCATAAATCACTCATCCATCCACTGGTGAACTTGCTGTATGCGGTGTTTGAAATTCACCATACGTTATTAAACAGTTTTTATAGTGAATTGTGCCTTTATTACTGCCGTGCTTCATGCGATATTCAAATCCAACCGAAGTGCAATAGTGTCCCTCTTCAGTTTCCACACCCCCCGACACTACTGCGCTCACCTTAATGTCTGACCTGTATCCCAGGGCAAACTGCGCTTTTCCCTTTTGACTGGGTAGGTATATAGATGTAACTGCTCTCCCACTGTCAGCTTACCATCAGGTGTATTACTGCTCTTCCACCGTCAGCTTACCATCTCCTCCAACTCCACACATATGAAAATGATACTCCGTGTAATATTGTAAATAAAACACCTTTATTAAAAATACAAAAATTTCACACTCCAACTGGGACACTGCAGGATAAACTGTTTGAATGCGGTATCCCCTATACCAAGATGGCGGCCCGTGTGCTTCCTGTATTGCGGCTTGATGTCCCCAGCGTACTCTACGAGTTACGTTACATGTTGTGACTTCATCAGGACCAAAGGATTTGCACATTTTTGTATGTATATTTGGTATTTATTGGAGTATATCTGTTTACTACGTACAACGATATAGGTTTATGGTATACATCTACTTATAAACACTAGTATATTAAAGCATTATTTGTGTGCTGCATATACACTCATTTACTGTATGTGGGAACACATTCTATGCAGGCAGCACATCACTATATAATCATATTAACACCATATTGCGCTGAGGTTTTTTCTATACATTTAGAATATTATGGCACAAGCCTGCAGGGGACCCATTTTTTTTTCTGGCTGGTTAACTACCACTTTAGTATGGAGATAAGTAGAATATACTTAATACACTGCTAAACAAAAAAATGAAATGAACACTTGTTATCAGAGTACAGCATCAAGTCAATTAAACTCCTGGGATTTAATCTGGTCAGTTAAGTAGCAGAGGGGGTTGTTAATCAGTTTCAGCTGCTTTGGTGTTAAATGGGTTTACAGGTGGAGGCCACAGATATTTTTTTCCCCCTACTCATCCTTTGACTGTTTTTCACTAGTTTTGAATTTAGCTAAGGTCAGTGTCACTACTGGTGGCATGAGGCAATACATGGACCCTAAAGAGGCTGCGTAGGCAGTCTAATTCCTCCAGGATGGCACATCAATACGTGCCATTGGCAGAAGGTTTGCTGTGTCTCCCAGTACAGTCTGAAGAGCATGAGGGAGATTCCAGGAGCTGGATAGGGCCGCAGAAGGTCCTTAACCCATCAGGACTGGTATCTGCTCCTTTGTGCAAGGAGGAACAGGATGAGCACTGCCAGGGCCCTACACAAATGGATGACCTCCAGCAGGCCACTGGTGTGAATGTCTGACCATACAATCAGAAACAGACTTCATGAGGATGGCCTGAGGAGGCCCTGTGCTCACTGCCCAGCACCATGGAGCTCGATTGGCATTTGCCATTGAACACCAGAATTGGCAGGTCTGCCACCAGTGCTTTTCACAGGTGAGAGCAGGTTCACCCTGAAAGAAGTCGGGGAAAACATTACGCTGCCAGTAACATTGTTCAGCATGACCGTTTGGGTGGGTCAGTGATTTTCTGGGGAGTCATATCTATGGAGGGATGCACAGACCTCTACAGGCTAGACAATGGCACCCTGACTGCCATTAGGTATCGGGATGAAATCCTTCGGCCTATTTTTAGATCCACTGGTGCAGTGGGTCCCGAGTTCCTCCTGGTGCACGACAATGCCCAGCTTCATGTGGCGCGAGTATGCAGGCAGTTCCTGGAGGATGAAGGAATTGATACCATTGAACTAAATCCAATACAACACCCCTGGGATATCATGTTTTGCTCCATATGACACCGCCAGATTGCACCTCAGACTGTTCAGGAGCTCAGTGATGCCCTGGTCCACATCTGGGAGGAAATACCCCAGGACACCATCCGTCTCATTAAATGCTTCAATGTTGTCAGGCATTCATACAAGCATGTGGGGGGACAAACTACTGAGTACCATTTTACGTTACAGCAATTAAATTTCAGGACTAGCCTGCTGCATCATTTTTTCACTTTGATTTTCGGGTTTCTTTGAATTCAGTCCTCTCTAGGTTGATAATTTTCATTTCCATCAAATGATGGGGCATCACATTCCTAACACATTACCAAGTCCATATCAGTATAGATATCCAGCATGATATTTTTCCCCATTGAGACCTGATGTGTTTTCAAAGTGTTCCTTTAATTTTTTTGAGCAGTGTACAATATGAAGAGGAACTCTTATGGCAAGGTCTAAATTAAAGGAATCCCATTTTCCTCATACCTTTATACACAAGTACATAACTGCTACTTACCAATTACAGTTGGTTCGAGGTCAACAAATATTGCCCGTGGAACATGTTTGCCTGAACCAGTCTGATTGAAGAACGTTCCAAAGGATGAATCTGATGGAGCAGTGTTATCCTTACTAACGACCCCATCGGGCTGGATTCCATGCTCTAGACAGTAAAGCTCCCAGCAGGCATTTCCCATCTGAACACCTGCTTGGCCAATATGTATAGAGATGCACTCCCTCTGAAAGGTAGAACATAATGCTTTAGACATAGGACCAATGACAAGTTTCTAAATACTGGTAGCCAACTGATTAGGTTAAAAAAAACCCCCACAACACTATATATATTTGTAGGCAGCACAGTGGCTAAATGATTAGCACTTCCACCTGGCAGTACTAGGGTCGTTTGTTCAAATCCCAGCCATGGCACCACCTGCCTGGAGTTTGCATGTTCTCCCTGTGCCTGCGTGGTTTCCTCCAGGTACTCCAGTTTCCTCCCACACTCCAAAGACACGCTGGTAGGTTAATTGGATCCTGTCTAAATTGTCCCTAGTATGTGTATGTATGAATGTAAGTTAGGGACTTAGATTGTACACGCTTTGAGGGTTAGGGATTGATGTGAATGTACAATATATATGCAAAGCACTGCGTAAATTGATGGCGCTATACAAGTACCTGAAATAAATATATTTACAATTTTTTGACCTCACTCAGGACAAGAATGATCCATTTCCCAATGGAACCCATTAGACACTTGTGAATCACTATGATAGCATTTGGGTCCATCACTGACATTTCACACCTTGGGCATATACCCTCCTGGTGCCATTTAGCCTTGAATTCTGCCACACTATCAAAGCAGCATAGGTTTATGTGGAAGAATTTTCCATAGAACAAAACTTAGTGGATCAGTGAAGACTGTCAATGCACATTTATTCTGAACATACTGAAATGGACAACAAAAATGTATCAATACAGCATTAAATTTATTTTATATGCATGCAGTGCAAGTACTTGAATTTAACCTGGTATTTTTTTTAGTCACCGTATGGCAGGGCTGGAGTGTTAGTTGGAGTAGCACGCCAAAAGTGAAAGACTGGTTCATAGTTGTGCTGCTTCTCTTTTTAAGCCAGCCATGTACGGATCATAATTTGGCCGGTTATGCAGGGGCAGATAGACAGCCCATGCATTTCATCCACACATTTGAGGTGGCACTGATTGATTAGGAAAAAGCCAACAGGCTGGTTGTAAGGAAGTCTAAGGGCAAGGTGGGGGTTATTGGGTTCTTCTGGGGTACGCTAGGGATGTTAACTGTGTCAATTGCCCTGCACATGGAGTACCTTTGCTGTGTCATGCTCTTCAATGCTTAGGACAAGGCGGAGACTGCTTTAATTTAAAGTCAACCTTAAGGTGGTCCTCCAACTTAGAGATAGGCTGTACACTGTGTACATTGAGTGAATAAACTGGACTTTGGGTAACTCTCTGGCCCCATGTCAATGCACACCTTAACTAACTGTTGCATTTAAGAGGGACATGCTGAGCTTAGGTCCCTTCCACCCATCCAGCGTACCTCTGTTATCTCACTCCCAGAAACAGAACGGGGTCCCGCCATGCACATAGAGGACCTCATGCATGCGCTATGTTCCTCTTGCTCTCCTGTATCTAGGGACTAGGCTGAGGACCTCCGTGATGCAGATCTGCTCCGTTTGTTATGGGAGACGGACCGCTAGGGAGGGAGCTCCAGCAGTAACCCCCTAGCTACTGGAGGATACATTGCCTTGTACAGGTACCATTCTAGTAACCACAGTCAGCAGCCTAGTCATGTAGACTCCCGTTAATCTTAACTACTATTTGCTCTTCTTCTGAACAAATGTTAACATTTACAGAGGCCAAGCTCATACGCAAATGTTTTAACTAACCCAAGCTTCAAATGTCTGTTTAGTGTGCCAGTAACTTTCATACAGCCCTTTTGAATAACTTCAGGCCAGGCAGAACTGTTCAAAAGTTATGGAAAATTGGCATAACAGCTCAAACAGAACAGCAAGTTTCTCCCAACTGACTGTCTGCCCCAGCATACCCACATATGTAGAATGCAATACTGGCAAGTCCAAGATGGCAGTATTCCATAACGATGGCATCCTGACAAGTTGCAAGTCTCAGCAGCCCTTCTACATGGTTGCAGTTCTCCTTTGCCTTTTTCTACTCATCTTCTTTTCCTCCTCCGGAACCAAACCCCTGTCCCTTTTATAATATAGGACTGGGAAAAGGGTTAGGTCAGACCCAGAAAATCCTGCAAATTAAGCCCTGGGAAGTCTGTGAAACTTAACACACCCCAGCTAGGGCAGCTATGACCAACTTACAGAGGGCAACCTACTTACATGCCTTGCTGACCAGTCAAATGTGGAGACCGTCAGGGAATCTCTGGACTAAAGGTGAATATTGCAACAACAGGCGTGTTATTTTAGCTTCTAATGGGCTATTCATTTTAGTCAAAAAGTTTTACTGATTCAGTCATGGAACAAATGGGAGGTGTTCACTTTTTCTCAGGGTACATCTCCAATAATCAACAAAAATGCACAAAGAAAAGCAGGCATAGATGGTTTAGAAGTATATAGCCATTCATTTTATTCTTGTCATTTTTGGCTGGAGTTCTGCTTTACAGATCATGAACAGATCCAGCCATCCAAAACCCATGTAATAAATTGTGAAAGGCACTCAGCCATAATAGAAAAGGCATATAATGGCTATGTGTATGATATTGGAGTCACGCAGGTCAGTCCTGCTGAACCAGACCAAATTTCAATACATACCATAGGCAAGCTGGTTGTACTAAAGTCAATCGATTGACTTCAGTCGCTTTCACATAATCTCTGCTCCTGGCTGTAGCCACCAACAGTGATCATTGTATTTGGATGGTGGTGAAACCTTCTGTTCCTATCTTTTAAGATCTAGGTTTAACATTCATAAACTGGATCTGGAAGGTGCTGTAAAAGACTTCAGGGCTTGCTCATACCCAGGTCTAACAAGTTGTGCATTGCTGCACACCCCACTGAACATATGTGGTGTGAACAGGGCACATTTATTTTTCCCCTTTTTATATGGGCTGATTGCACAATTTATATACAATGGTGTAATGAGAGAAAGAAAATTCAGCTAAACCAACACATTTGGTGTTAACAGGCCCTTCGGCTGCTTTCACATGGGTGGTGCTAAAACATGGGGCTGATCTACCATTTTAGCCCCCCACCCCACAAAAAACAGACAGGGTCACTTAGGGAACAATGCACATAGCCATGGTACAGCAGTTTACCAGGCGAATCCACCTGTCAAACTCTCCTATGTAAGCAACTGAGACCTGTCAAACTCTCAAGCTAACATGTGGCTCACAGTTGGACATCGATCCAAAAAAAAAAAAAAAAAAAAAAAAGGCATTATACAGAGGACTGAGGAGGCAGTAATATCACCTCCCAAATCCCTGCAAACCTTTTTTCAGCATCTTCTGAAAATCAAACTGCTGATCACTTTACAGGGGCTTAACAGACATACAGAGTGGATGGACATAAAGGACTTTATCTGATCTACATCTCTTTACACAAGTTAATGTGGATGTCAAACCTCTCAGCACATCTTCAATGCAAATCTAAGCAGCTCAAAAGCACACAAAGTAATATAACATTCTTCTGAGCCTAGTAAACAGAAATTTTTATATAACACTTCAAAATCATCATTTTCCCCAGAAAAACCTTCCAGCTCCGCACAATTCTTATACCACTCACCATCTTCACCTTTGTGATGCTATAAACAAGCTGGCAGGAGATCAGGCCTTACCAACTACCTAAGCCCATCAGCATTTAAACTATTCCAGCTTTGGGAAGTGGGAGGTCTCAAATAATTAAAGTGGAACTCTGCTGAAATTGAAGCCACTATGACCAAATTCACACTGTTGAATTGCAATGCATCTACCTTGCAGCACACCACAGGGCACAGTAACACCACTATGTGTCTCTGGCGAGTTGCATTGCTAAAATCATGCATGTACTTGTTTTGGTGCATTAGCAGCCCTTTCAATGAATGGGCTGCCTAGATGTAATGCACAATGAGCTCTTAGTGTATGTTTTTTTTATATTGAATACGTCTGCTGCTATGTGTTAAAACAAAAGGCCCATTTATAAAAAACAAACTAGATGATTTATGAAATTTGCTTATATCAACCAATCTTTTTTTTAGTTTTTACAGGGAATGAAGGCAGAAAAATAGATTGGTTGCAATAGGCAAACATTCTTCTGCTCCAGCTTTTATGAACGATTCACAGCAGGTAACCGAATAAGAATTGTACTTGTGCCATTCTCTGGGACTGAAAATTGGAGCAAAAACACAAGCGTTGTCTTTAGCAGCCAGCCCCGCTTTAAGAAGCAGAGCTTCAATACAAATTATGCCTCATTTTGCATGGCTTTTATGAGTTATCCTCAGCAATGCCATTAACATTAGTGATTTCCTTTGTTAAAGGCTCAGTCCACCCAAAAGTGAAATTTGAACATTTGCATGTGTTTCTTAGGAGCTCCACAATGGAGGTATCCGAGACACACCTGCTGTGACCTTGAAAAAGCACACCTCCTTTTTTCAGGAATAATTTTGCCACTGAAATCTCAGCAACTCTCTACCAGTAACTGAAATATCATCATAGGGCAGCATGGTAGATAGGTAGTTAGTACGCTTGTAGCTCATGAGACCTCTGTTTAATACATACCCAAGAGCTGTTTGCATGAAGTTTGTATGTTCTACCCATCTTTGCATGGGTTTCCCTCAAGTGCTCCTCTTTGCACCCAAAACAGAAGAAAATATTGTTTAGTAGTATGTCGGTATAGTAGGGACATTATACTGCAAGTTCCTTTGAAATCAATCCATAATCTACTGATGTGGATTGTATAGTTTAATGTCCTCTTCACTGTAGAAGAATTGTCACATTTTTGGCTATATAATCAAAACTGGAGCAAAAAGCTAAAACAATACCCCATATGTATAATAGGCATTTAGCTTTTTTCTTTTTACCACCAGTAATAAAAGGGTTAAAGCTTCCTTTCCATCTCCCCCTAATTTTCCCTGAGGCTCTACTTCCTCTCAGGTGGTATAGCAAGGCTACTTAATAAATGGTGCAGAGCAGGAAACACCTGCCTTGGATTCTATAGCTAGTGCTCAGGTCCCAAAGGGTAATAATGGTAAATTGCTCTATGCAGACTACTAGCCTTTACGAATGATTCTTTTGTGTGCAATTGGTGTTGTTGGTGACATAGGGTTTAGTATTGAAATGCATATTGTAAATAATGTCAGTCTTCATCCTTCAGTTGATTGCTGGTTTGCACCATAACCTTATTCTGAATGTCAATGGGAAATTCTCTAATGCTTTCAGACTTTTTTTTTGGTAAAAATATGTGTCTGTTAGAAATTCAGGTATGAAATTGATGGTGTGATATCATGGGTGACTCTTGTACAAGGCTGTATAGTGGGTGTTGAATGGTGTGCAGGGTGATCAGAGACCTATTCCTTATTTGTTGCATATTTGGTCTGAATCTGAATTGCTTAACCAAGCAGTTAAAAGCATACAGATGCTTCATTTGGTATCTGAAATCTAAGAAACCACTATTCTTCACTTGCTCCCCAAAAATAGGGTTTTAAGTCACCTGAACAAAGTATGTGTGTATGTACTGAATGTATTATGTCACTAATGCTTGGTTTCTTGGCCCTGCTCTAAAGGGTGGATGATACTTTCCATTTGTTTTGTATGTTCTAAATATGTACTTTTCAATTTTTGTTGAAAAACAGTATTATTTGTAGTAAATGGGAAGCCGAGGCATAACTCCTATGGCCTTAGCATTGACGTAAATAGAAAATGAAAAGTGGGGTGTTTTGCTGGGTGTAATACTTTGTACTGGCCTAGAATAATTGGGTAGATCAGAGGTTGGAAGTCTCAGCACATTTTGGATGCTCACCTTGGGTGGCAGAGGAGGACTTTGTCCTGGCAATGGACTCATGTCATCTATTTATCCATTGTCAATTTCTGGGGAATATGGTTTTGTGTGTATAAATTTTTTTTTTTTTTTTTTTTTTTTTTTTAGAAACTGGCTATAGGTCTAAGACCTCTGATATAGACCTGACTGAAATTTGATCTCTATTGCAGAGGGAATGCATATCTATCCATGTTGGCCAGGCTGGAGTTCAGATGGGAAGTGCTTGCTGGGAACTTTATTGCTTAGAACATTCAATTCAACCAGATGGCACAGTAGCAAAGGACAAGACGATATCAAGTGCTGATTCTTCATTTTCCACCTTCTTCAGTGAGACTGGGTCGGGAAAGTATGTTCCAAGAGGTGTTTTCATTGACTTGGAGCCAACTGTTATTGGTACAGTAATTCTTAAACTTATTGATCATAAGACGCATGGTGCATTGTATCTGTTGTGGATGTAAAAACCCCAATAAGCTTTGTAGGTTGGCGTAACTGAGTCCTGACTAAGTTACACTTGTTGTTTTGCAGGTCCTGCTGTTCCTACATTTGTATAATCCATTAACAAAAAACCTGCAGTGTTGTGGGTTACACCTTACATAATTGGTCTGTAAGGCCTTGACTGTTCATGAGGGTGCACACTTAATTACTTTATTGGCTGCTGAGGTGCTCTTATTGCCATAGGTGAACAATGCTTAGATCTGTACTTCTCCCATTAACTTCTGCGCACTCTCCCAGATTGGAGATGTTGAGGTGTGGCATGAAGGAGAGCTAATCTTGGCCAATGCAGTAATGAGGGCCTTTTCATTAAGACCTGTTTCACACAGGCATTAGCTAGTGTAAGAGCAGTGTGAACAGCAAGCTTTGGCAAACCATTTCCATAGCATTCAGCAAGCGTTGTTGAAGTGTTTACAGTACCATTCAGTTCCAGTTTATAAACGTTGAACACAGATCCTAGTAGGAATGCTGATTGCCACTTTAAACAAGCTGCTGGAGGCTTTCCACAAGCTTCAAGGAGTGTTGAAGCCTGCTAGCAGCTTGTTTTAAAAGTCGCACTCAGCACTCCCATTAGGATCTGTGTTCAACATTTATGAACTGGAGCTAAATGGTTCTTTAAATGCTTTAACATGGCTTGTTGAAAGCTCTACTAATGCTTTGTCAAAGCTTGCTGTTCATTGCTCTATTACAAGCTTAAGCCTGTTTGAAACGGGCATTAAAGTGGATACAGGGCACCTAGATATGTGCCTCTAGACCGCAAGCTTCAAAACGTAACAAGCCTGCGGGTTTTATTTATAAACTGGCTACATAAAATGCAGTTACCTGCACATATCTTTAAATGGCTTTAGAAGAACTTCTGAAGCCATGACATGTTCTGCTGTCTCCTGTTTTTGCTGTTGGTCCATTGCTGTGACTACGACATTGATTTGTGCGGGGGCAGAGCAACACTAGATTTGACCAGGAAATCTTGATAGTTTAAATGGAATACACCTGCATTTTGGTCCTCCTTTGGTGCTCTTTTGAAGTTGCATACCAGCACCTTTTTAGTGGCCTAGATTTAATGCATATAAGACGTTTATTAACATGTAGCCATCCCCAGATTTTTGTCAACTATACAATCCACTTAAAACAAACATTCTCTAGCATAATTTCATACAATATGATTACCTTTTATGTTGCGTTTACCCCCCGAAGGAGCGAGCTGCTTGAGGTGTTGCGTGCCCTGTTCCTCTACTAGTGACTCTGAATCGCTCCACACACTGACACACCTAGGTGTTTGAGAATGTTTGTTTATTCCAGGTACCTGTAGATACACTCCAAAAGGCTCAAAATGCATAGACCCCAAAAATGACAAAGCAACTGGTTAAGCGAAAGGTAAAGTATTGCAACAGGGTAAACGTAGAAGAAATGTACTGTAATGTTCCAGCAGAAAGAGAGAATAGTTTGTACAATGGTTAACCATAAAGAAATATTTTATAACAAGGAGTGAAGTACTGCAGAAACCGTAACTGCCATAAAGTAAAATGCTTAAACCTGGTTAGCTTTAACAAGGGGAGATATGTACGGTTTGTGTATATCACAATAACTGTTTAGCAGTTGGTAGTATGATACTTTGTTCCTTCTATTGGCCCGCTTATTGGGGCCCAATTGATGGGAGCGCTTGGAGGTAACATCTCTTTAATGTGGAATTAAAGCAGTCCCTGTCCTCACCAGCATCTTTTTCTCCTGTTTACCAATTTTTGGCCATCTTTCTTGGCAGGCATGGGATGGCGTCAATCCTGCACATGCTGCAGGAGCTAGCCAGTCTGGTACACAGGGAACAGCTGTCCCCTTTAAGCTGACCTGTGTATGCACATCTCAGTTTACATTCCAGGGATTGCTGAGAGCAGGCAGATAAGTGTATTTTATTGCTGAAGAGACATTGGATACCTGCTCAAAGTGGACCTAAAGTCCTGCTATTCCACACGAAGTCTGATGCAAGCACAACTACTGCAGTCCTGGTAGGCAACTCTGTCCCACTTTAAAGTATAAGATTGGGTTGGCCATCCTGTCCTCTTCCTTTTTCTTAGCTCCAGAAAAAAAACCTTGCCACTACTCCTATGTGCAACTAGCAGTTGAATTCCATGAACAAAGCTATAGTGCAGACTAGGTCTCTTTGGGAACTAAATCTCCCATGATCCTTTACAATGCTTCACCAGAGTCTAACAGTCAATGCCTTCAGTTTTGCCCCCTAGTGGAAGGATGGTGGTTTAACACCAGTTGCTCTGCGTTTTGTGAAAGCCGCCAGTCCTGCAGCCATGCCTATAAACTGTCTAAATCCTCTGTACAAAATGAGCAAAGCAGCACTGGACACAAGAAACTGACAAGCCAGGTCCATGCCATATCCCTCTCCTGCCATGCAGACCCAGCTACAATATATAGCATACTTTAACATACTACATAGTTGTAGCTACAGTGTCATGTAAATGGAATGCAATGTAGTAATCCTTTTTGTAAAAGTGAGCTCAAATCCTGTCAAGGAGCTTTAATGTCAATCAACTGAGCCCCAACCCCAATCCAGACTACAGCCTTGCCTATAGCATATAACTGAAGAACATAGCCATGCTTTTTATTTTTGATTTATTGTGTAAAGTTGCAGTATTCTTCTGAAACAAGTACTTCACTACCCATGTAATTTAAAAGTGTGTAAAGCTCCTTGAACATGTAAAAACATGGCCATTCAATTCAGTTTGAGATTTTTGCAGGTCAGATTACAAAAGCCATAGTTTTCAGTCTTTGCCATTTCATATAATTAAAACATTGAAGACAAAAGAAAACATGAAAGTCTTGATCATCTCGCTGGAGTTTGACTTTAAAACGCATGTTAAATGAGAACAATTTAACCTACCAAAATGTCTGCAACTATCGTAATACCAGCCACTGTGTCTGCAACTATTGTAATAACAGCCACTGTATATAGCAAAAGTGCGACGCTAATATCTAAAGCCTAATGCAGTAAAAATCAAGGGATATAACTTGATCAGTTTCATGTCGTTTTGTGCTGCTGCCTCTTGTGAAGTCAAATCCTCCCCACCCCTGCTGCTGTAATTTTTCTGGTGCAGTGGAGGTTAATAGAACTGAGGCAGCTGTCGCAGCCTCTCGTCAAGAGTGCCCAACTATGCCTTCATTCACAGAAGCCAGTACTGCAGCTTCCATGAGTGGGGGGGGGGGGGGGAATCTATAAATGAAGGTTGATCGATAGGCCAGCCCTTCCATCCATGGATGCTTTTTATTCATAGAAGCTGTAGTATGGAGGAGCTGGGGGGGGGGGGGGGCGAGTGGCCATAGATGGGCACTCTTGATGAGAGCCTATGACAGCTCCCCCAGTTCTATTAACCCCTACCACACAAGCAGATTATGGCAGCAGGGGTAGGTGGGGAGCAGTTATGGAGTTACATTTTGCCTAACAGAAGAGGCATCAGCACATGGGACACAGCACTGACTGTATGGTATGTCCATTGTGCTGATTTTTTTTTTTTTTTTTTTTTTACTGCACTTTAAAACCAGAGCATCTGCTGTTTTTTCTTGCATTGCTTCTCAACTCCCCAACCTGTTGGACTATTGACAGCACAGATTCTGTAAGATGTGTTGGGGTGTACTACAGGTATAGCTGAAGGAGTAAAAGTACCTTTTTGTTGCTTTTTGTAAAGAAGTGGACAATCACAGCCAGAAAGTTAGCTGTCCTCCACCTGCTCAAGTTAAGTTTCTTCAGTTTTGGATATTTCATGCTCCTTATCCCCATCCAAGTTCATTGTGGGAGTAGAACTTCACCTTATGATGTGTTCTTGGTGGTTTTCACCCCCTCCCTCTTAAGGCCCCACTGCTTAAAACACTTTTTTTTTTTTTTTTTTTTTTTTTTTTTGTATGACAACACTAATATGCAATGAAACCTGATTGGCTCACAGTGGTAGAGCAGACTTGCTCATATATTTTTGTGTGTAAAAGATGATTAATGGATTGGCAGTACAAGTACAGAAGAAAAAAGTGCACTAGGATAGTTTCACACTGGTGTGCCAATATTATATGCCTTCTTTTTCCAGATGGTGTTAGATCTGGAAGCTACAGGCAGCTGTTCCATCCAGAGCAACTCATACCAGGCAAAGAAGATGCTGCAAATAATTATGCTCGTGGGCACTACACAGTTGGTAAAGAGTTAATAGATCAAACGCTCGACAGGATACGAAAGCTGGCAAGTATATTTTACATCTAAAAAATAACTTTTGTCTGCACACTCCCAATAGTGATCTTCTTTAACCACTTGAGCTCCAGAAAATTTTACCCTCTTCATGACAGGTCAATTTTTGCTTTTCTGAGCTACTGACAATTGTGCAATCATGCAACACAGCACGCAAATGACATTTTATATCCTTCTATTTTTGCTGGTATTTAATTTAATTTAAAAAAAAAAAAAAAAATGTACCATATTGCTAAAAGTATTAGGGATGACATTAAAGTTCATGTGTGTAAAGGCAGGCAACCTGTCTTAGTCTGTAGGGTTCAATGTTGAGTTGGCCCGCCCTTTGCAGATATAACAGCTTCAACTCTTCTGGGAAGGCTGTCCACAAGGTTTAGGAGTGTCTATGGGAATGTCTAACCATTCTTCCAGAAGTACATTTATGAGGTCAGGCACTGATGTTCGATGGGAAGGCCTGGCTCGCAGCCTCTGCTCTAATTCATCCCAATGGTGTTCTATCAGGTTGAGATCAGGACTCTTTGCAGGCCAGTCAAGTTCCTACACCCCAAACTCGCTCATCCATGTCTTTATGGATCTTGCTTTGTGGCGCACTGATGCGCAGCCATGTTGGAACAGGAAGGGGCCATCCCCAAACTCTTCCCATAAAGTTAGGAGCATTAAATTGGCCAAAATGTCTTGGTATGCTGATGCCTTAAGTGTTCCCTTCACTTGAACTAAGGGGCCAAGCGCAACCTCTGAAAAACCCCCCCCCCCAAACTTTACACCTGGCACAATGCAGTCAGGCAAATAGCATTCTCTTGGCAACCGTTAAACCCAGACATGTCCATCGACTTGCAAGATAGAGAAGCGTGATTTGTCACTCCAGAGAACACTTCTCCACTGCTCTAGAGTCCAGTGTCGGCGTGCTTTACACCACTGCATCCAACGCATTGCACTTGGTGATGTTAGGCTTGGATGCAGCTGCTCCGGCATGGAAACCCATTCCATGAAGCTCTCTATGCACTGTTGTGCTAATCTGAACGCCACACAAATTTTGGAGGTCTTTAGCCATTGACTCTGCACACAGTTGGCTACTTCTGCGCACTGTGTGCTTCAGCATGCGCTCACCCTGCTCTCATTTTATGTGGCCAAGTTTCTGTTCCCAGTTGCTTCCATTTTGTTAATACCACTAACAGCTGACTGTGGAATATCTAGCAGCAAGGAAATTTCATGGACTTTCAGTATACTGATGGCTGATATCATTTCTTGAGGCATTTTAAAGGCCAGGACAGTACCCTCCAAATTACCCCTTCTTGGAAAGCAGACAGTCCAAGGTATTTGGTAAGGGGCATAGTGAGGTTTTTTTTTTTTTTTCCAATAAAAAAAAAATGTATGTACACATACCTTTTTTAATAAAAATTAAAGGAACACTTTAAAAACACATTGTAAGGGACCGCCCGGCGGTACTACTAGCACTCCACTGAATAGGCGTCCCCAGCGCACGGAGTCTAAGTCCCAGGGTGCTTGTTCACCAGGGCCCCTGATGGTGGGGATGGACTTGGAGCTCCCTGAGACCAGGTCGTGACTACCGGGTGCGTCCGTCAGTGGTAGTAGTATGCGCAAGGGGCTCCCCCGGGGAAGAGTCTGATGTGAGGAGGTCAGAAGACCCCACTGCACGGGATGGATGGATGGATGAGCAGGGTCAGACGGGCCGGGTCGGTAACAGAGAGGGCGGCAAGGTACAAGGCAGCGGGCATAGAATGGTCGGGTCACACGCCAGGTCAGCAACAGCAGGTCAAATCCAATAGGGGGCATTCAGGAGAGAGGTCAGGCAAAGCAAGGGTCAGAACAGGCGAAAACAGCAAGGTCAGGTTCAATCCGGGTCAATAACTTACAGGGTACAGGTTCACAGATTCAGAATGCAGGAAAGACCAGAAGGCACTGAATGACAGCTCAGGGTCGTTTAAATATCCCGCCCTGCGCTGCCATTGGTGCCCAGCGGGCGGCCGCGGCTTCTACTGCGCATGCGCGAACTCGAACGCCGCGGCCGGCCCGGAACCAGTGCTCGAGTCCCTGCGCCGGGCGGCATACTGCGCCTGCGCCGGGACCAACGCGGCGGGGATCGAGGGGATCCCTGACACACATAAGATCTTAATGGAGAAAAATATCATGCTGGGTAATGTGTTTGAAACGTAAGGATGCCCCATCATTTGATTTTCAGGTTCTTTGAATTCAGTCCTCTATAGGTTGATGATTTTAATTTCCATCAAAGTGGAAAAAATGATGCAACAGGCTAGTCAATTTTGCTGAAATTTCATTGCAGCAACTCAAAATGGTACTCTGTAATTTTTATGGCCCCCATGTGCTTGTATGCATGCCTGACAACGTCTGGGCATGCTCCTAATGAGACTATGGATGGTGTCCTGGGGCATTTCCGCCCTGATCTGAACCAGGACATCACTGAGCTCCTGGACAGTCTGAGGTACAACCTGGCGGTGTCAGATGGACCGAAACATGATATCCCAGAGGTGTTCTATTGGATTTAGATCAGGTGAGTGTGGGGGCCATTCAATGGTATCAATTCCTTCCTCCTCCAGGAACTGCTTGCATACTCTGGCAACATGAGGCCGGGCATTGTCATGCATCAGGAGGAACCCAGAACCCACTACACCAGCGTAGGGTCTGACAACGGGTCCAAGGATTTTCATCCCAATACCTAATAGCAGTAAAAGTTCCATTGTCTAGCCTGTAGAGGTCTGTGCATTGCTCCATGGATATGCCTCCCCAGACCATCACTGACCCACCACCAAAACGTTCATGCTGAAAGATGTTATAGGCAGCATAATGTTCTCCATTGCTTCTCCAGACCCTTTCACGTCTGTCATGTGCTCAGGGTGAACCTGCTCATCTTTGAAAAGCACAGGGTGCCAGTGGCAGACCTGCCAATTCTGGTGTTGAATGGCAAATGCCAATCTAGCTCTATGGTGTCGGGCAGTCAGCACAGGGCCCACTAGAGGATGTTGGACTTTCAGGCCACCCTCCATGAAGTCTGTTTGATTGTTTGCTCTGACCTCCAGCAAGCCACTGGTGTGAAGGTCTTTTTGTAGGGCTCTGGCAGTGCTCATCCTGTTCCTCCTTGCACAAAGGACTGAATACCAGTCCTGCTGATGGGTTGAGGACCTTCTACAGCCATGTCCAGCTCTTAGAGTAACTGCCTGTCTCCTGGAATCTCCTCCATTCTTTTGAGACTGTGCTGGGAGACGCAGGAAACCTTCTGGCAATGTCGCGTATTGATGTGCCATCCTGGAGGAGTTGGACTGCCTGTGCAGCCACTTTAGGGTCCAGGTATTGCCTCATGCCACCAGTAGTGACACTGACACTAGCCAAATGCAACACGAGTGAAAAACAGAAAAGATGAATAGGGGAAAAAATGTCAGTAGCCGCCACCTGTAAAACCATTCCTGTTTTGGGGGTTCTCATTGTTGCCCATCTAGTGCACCTGTTGCTTTCATTAATGCCAAAGCAGCTGAAACTGATTAACAACCCCCTCTGCTACTTAACTGACAAGATCAATATCCTAGGAGTTTAATTGACTTGATGCTATATTTCTGATTTAAAAAGTGTTCCTTTTTAAAAACTTTTTTGAGCAGTATGTAATAAATATATTCATTGTACCAGCAATTCTTTGAACTGTTGTGAATGAGTCATGATCTATTATTGGCCCAAGTACCATGTGATGGCTGTGGGCCAATCACGGCTCACTAGTACAAGAAGCAGATGAAATTCGTTCATAACGGCTTTGTTGACATAGCAATCACATGATCCCCAGGCTGCACTTGGTACTGTGAGCTGCAATTCGCTGTGACCACCAGAGCCCATGCAGGCACAGTAACATACATGTAGTATATTTATGGTGGAGGGTCGGCAGGTGGTCAACTTTTTTGTAATTGTACTACAGTCAATGTGTAAAATCTACATAAAAACAGAATGTAATGATTTGCAAATCTTATATACTCATATTTTATTCACAATGAAGCTCATATCAACTGAATTTGTTTTTCTGAGAAAATGTGCTATTTTAGGGAAAGAAATAAGGTCATTTTTGAAACTGATAGCAGCAACACGTCTCAAAGTTGGGACAGGCCAACAAAAAGCTGGCAAAGTGGTACTAATAAGGAAGAGCTGGAAGAACATTTTCCAGTTAATTGGCACTAGGTCAGTGACCTGATTGAATCTCCAAGATGTCTTTTTATACTGAGAGTGTCTCAGAAGTAAAGCTGGGCAGAGGCTCCACAATCTTTGAAAAGCTGTGTCTAAAAATTGTCGCTCAATTTCAGAATATTCCTAATTGTAAAGACTTTTAAATCCTCTACAATACATAATGGCGTAAAATTTGAGAATCTGGAGAAATGTGTGCACAAGGGAAAAGGCCATAAAGTGCAACGTGTGATGCCTGTGGGCCTCAGATGACACTGCATTAAAAACGGGCAAGACTCTGTGGAGGACATCACTGCACAGGCTCAGGAATACAAAAAAGAAAATCGGTCTGAACAGAGTTTGCCATGCCATCCAAAAATGCAAGGTAAAGTTCTAGCATGCAAAGAAGCCATATCTGAACATTATCCAGAGACTCTGCTGTTTACTCTGGGCCACAGCTCATTTAAAATGGTCTGTTGCAAAGTGAAAAACTGTTCTGTGGTCAGATAAATTGAACTTTTTGGTAATCCTAGGGGTACCACATCCTCAGACCTAAAAAAGGGAATTTCTGGCTTAACACTTGGTTTAAAAGCCTGCATCTCTGATGGTATTGGGGCACATTAGTGCGCATGGAATGGGCAGCTTGCACATCTATAAAGGCACCATGAATGCAGATGGATATATAGATTCCGGTTTTAAAGCAGCATATACTCCCATCCAGACTTTTCAGGGAAGGCCTTGCATATTTCAACAGGACAGTCCTAAATCCCATTCTGCATCTGACAACAGCATGTCTTCATAGAGTCCAGGAGTTCAACTGGCCTGTCTGCATTCGCCAACTGAAAATATTTGGTGCATATTCAAACAAAAAAAATACATCAAAGACCCAGGACTGTTGAGCAATCCGAATCCTATATTGGACAAGAATGGGACAACATTCCCCTCCCAAAATTCCAGTACCTGGTCTCCTCCAATTCCCAAACATTTACAGAGTCTTCTTAAGAGAAGAGGGAGTGCTACACCATGGTAAACATGGCCCTGTCTCAACTTTTTTGAAGAGCATTGCTGTCATCCATTCAAAATACTTGTGTGTTTTTTTTTTTTTTTTTTTTTTAGTTTAAACATTTAATGTTTTCCATTGTGAATAAAATATGGGTTTTATGAGATTTGAAAATCACTGAATTCTGTTTATGTAGATTTTACAGCGTCCCACTCTTTCTTGCAAATGGGGTTGTAGTTTATTTAATATGTGGTCAGGCAGCAAAAACCTTATTTTACTGCAAGCCCTCCTGAGCAGCATGCAGCTTAGAACCTTTGTTTACCTGCATGTACCTTCATTTTTAAACCTGAAACCCAGGACACACAAATATTGCATGGGGGGGGGGGGGTCTGTGTGTCACACTGCATTTTACTGGTGCAGTATGTTTAGTTGAATTTTAGAGAATAGATTTCTGAGTGTTCAGGAGATCTGATTAGAGACCCAGCAGCTAAACCTGCTTTAAATGTTGGTTCATACCACAATTTCAGCTTTCCAGATGCATTTGTGCAAATGTGTTTAGATGCATTTTCAATGCGTTCCAGTGAGTTTTTCTTTACATGTTCCAGGTGAAAATGCAGCAGGTTGAAGTACTGGAAACTGACTGCATTAGTGTGAACAAGGACCATTGGCATACATGGCAACTATTGTACATACAGTGAGGAACAGAAGTATTTGAACACCCTGCGATTTTGCAAGTTCTCACTTAGAAATCATGGAGGGGTCTGAAATTCACATTGTAGGTGCATTCCCACTCAAACAGAATTTAAAAAAAAAAAAAAAAAAAAAAAAATTCAGGAAATCGCATTGTATGATTTTTAAAGAATTTATTTGTCTTGCACTGCTGAACATAAGTATTTGAACACCTGAGAAAATCGGTGTTAATATTTGGTACAGAAGCCTTTGTTTGCAATTAGAGGTCAGATGTTTCCTGTAGTTCTTGACCAGGTTTGCACACACTGAAACAGGGATTTTGGCCCACTCCTCCACACAGATCTCCTCTAGATCTGTCAGGTTTCGGGGCTGTCGCTGAGCAACAGAGTTTCAGCTCCCTCCAAAGATGTTCTATTGGATTTAGGTCTGGATACTGGCTAGGCCACTCCAGAACCTTGATATGCTTCTTACGGAGTCACTCCTTGGTTATCCTGGCTGTGTGCTTCGGGTCGTTGTCATGTTGGAAGACCCATCCACGTTCCATCTTCAATGCTCTGACTGAGGGAAGGAGGTTGTTGCTCAAAATCTCCCAATAAATGGCCCCATTCATTCTCTCAATACAGTGCAGTCGTCCTGTCCCTTTTCACAGAAAAGCACCCCCAAAGCATGATATTACCACCCCCCATGATTCACAGTAGGGATGGTGTTCTTGGGATGCAACTCATCCTTTTTCCTCTAAACACGACGAATGAAGTTTAGCCCAAAACGTTCTACTTTGGTCTCATCTGACCACATGACTTTCTCCCATGCCTCCTCTGGATCATCCAGATGGTCATTGGCAAACTTCAGATAGGCCTGGACATGTGATGAGTTGAGCAGGGGAACCTTCCATGCAATGCATGATTTGAAACCATGACGGCGTAGTGTTCTACTGACAGTGACCTTTGAAACTGTGGTCCCAGCTCTCAATGTCATTGACCAGCTCCTCCCCTGTAGTTCTGGGATGATTCCTCGCCTTTCTTATCGGTGATATTTCACGAGGTGAGCTCTTGCATGGAGCCCCAGTTCGAGGGAGACTGACAGTCGTCTTTAGCCTCTTCCATTTTCTAACAATTGCCCCAACAGTTGATCTATTTTCACCAAGCTGCTTGGCAATTTCCCCATAGCACTTTCCAGCCTTGTGGAGGTCTACAATTTTGTCTCTGGTGTCTTTTGACAGATCTTTGGTCTTGCCCTTGTAGTAGTTGGTGTCTGACTGTGGGGTGGACAGGTGTCTTTAAAGAGCTCAGACAGGTGCTACTAAGTTAGATTAATGAGTGGAGTAGAGGTGGACTTTTTAAAGGCACAGTAACAGGTCTTTGAGAGCCAGAATTCTTGCTGTTTCTTAGGTGTTCAAATACTTATGTTCAGCAGTGCAAGACAAATTCTTTAAAAATCATACAATGTGATTTCCTGAATTTGTATGTATGTATTTTTTTTTTAATTCTGTCTGAGTGGGAATGCACCTACAATGTGAATTTCAGACTCCTCTCTGATTTCTAAGTGGGAGAACTTGCAAAATCGCAGGGTGTTCAAATACTTCTGTTCCTCACTGGTATATTCTAGCTGCATTTTAAAAACTCACTGCAAAGCATCTGGTGTGAACCAGCCCTAAAGCCGGAAACTTCTAAATGCAAGAAAATTTATCTGGTAGGCATGAAGCAGTTTATACTTCCCAGATGACTAAAGCTAATTACAGGCGTGCCAATGTGAATGAACTGTAACTTGCAGTGACTGCTGCTCTCTCCTTGTACAGTTGACTGGTCTTGTATTGACCCCCTCCTGTAATTTTCTGCAGTCATTAATAGGTGGACATCTGGGTCCCGCCATAGCTCTGATCTCTGCTCCGGCTATAGGAAGCACAGCGAGGTCACAGCTACATTTTTATAGTAATATCTGCTTGTAAATGGGTTTGTTGCACACAGCGGCTCTTTATATCCTTTATATCTTTCCTTTTTTGGTTAAGGCGTTTGTGTTTAAATTTCCAGCAACAAACTTTTGTTTGCATTCTCTTCCAGTCTGAACAGTGTTATGGACTTCAAGGATTTTTGGTCTTCCACAGTTTTGGAGGCGGCACAGGTTCTGGTTTTACGTCGCTATTAATGGAGCGCCTGTCTGTGGATTATGGAAAGAAATCAAAATTGGAGTTTTCAATTTATCCTGCCCCAAAAATCTCTACTGCAGTGGTAGAACCATATAATTCTATTCTGACAACCCACACAACTCTGGAGCATTCAGACTGTGCCTTTATGGTGGACAATGAAGCCATCTATGATATCTGCAACCGAAATCTGGATATTGAGCGACCCACTTATACTAACTTGAACAGATTAATTGCCCAGATTGTTTCTTCCATCACAGCCTCTTTAAGGTTTGATGGGGCATTGAATGTGGACTTGACAGAGTTTCAGACAAACTTGGTGCCTTATCCTCGAATCCACTTCCCACTGGTCACTTATTCACCCATAATATCAGCAGAGAAGGCTTATCATGAGCAATTATCCGTGCCAGAGATCACCAATGCTTGCTTTGAATTTTCAAATCAGATGGTGAAATGTGATCCTCGACGTGGTAAATATATGGCTTGCTGTCTGTTGTATAGAGGTGATGTGGTACCGAAAGATGTCAATGCTGCAATAGCTGCTATTAAGAGCAGGAGATCTGTTCAATTTGTAGACTGGTGTCCTACTGGATTTAAAGTGGGAATAAACTACCAGCCTCCTACTGTAGTTCCGGGAGGAGACCTGGCTAAAGTCCAACGTGCTGTCTGTATGCTGAGCAACACTACAGCCATTGCAGAGGCCTGGGCAAGGCTAGATCACAAATTTGATCTCATGTATTCTAAGAGAGCATTTGTACACTGGTATGTGGGAGAGGGCATGGAGGAAGGGGAGTTCTCTGAAGCAAGGGAGGATATGGCAGCTCTAGAAAAAGATTATGAAGAAGTGGGAACAGACTCTGGTGATGGTGGAGATGAAGAGGAAGAAGAATATTAAACACCGTTCAACCTAATCTCTGTAGGCACACTATTGTCTAAATGTTGAACTTGACAACTAATATATGTCATAGTAGCAGCCACTGTTTTACAATGCAATACATTTTCTTTCACTGACTTCTTTCCATTTAAAATGTGAGACTCCTAAAGGAATGTGTGATGTACTGTTTTTGCTGTTTTTGTATTAATAAAAAAAAAAGCAATCCATCCTTTTTGTTTTGGGCTGGTATCCAAGCTAATGCAAAGCAACAGAAGAAAAGAGAAACTCTTGAGCTACCATTGCTCTTTTTGGAAAGTGGTGATTCTCTGGTTTTAATGCGGTTAGAATTAATCTAGGTCAGTGATTTGAAGTAAAGAGGTTCCTCTTACTAAAGGAAAGTGGGCAGTTCACGTGTGTAAGGTAAATTTCCCTTAGTTTACGCCTAATACTGTTCGGCCAGCTTCTGTCAAAGGGACATGACTGAAAAAAGGTCTGCCGATCAGGGCTCTCAGCCAATGGTTGATTGTGCTGAATGGAGTGTTCTGGTGGGGGCTGTTCCACCTGTCGGAACACAATAGCACAGCACGGGAGACTGCTGTACGAATATCGGAAAGTTAATACAGTGGCTCCTCGTGTGTGTAAATTTATTTTCAGCCCACTGTGTTGAAAGATACTAGAGTACCAGGCTCAAGTGAATAAGGTGAAGCTTTTGATGGCTTCATCCAGTTGTGGGCAAGCAAAATACTGGGGTGTGTTGTGTTCTTCTGTATCCTTGTGATTCTTGTGTATCTGTTTGCAAAATTAACTTTCACATTCATGAAGCGAAGAGAGAATTTCTTGCAAAGTAAACTGAATATTTACTAATTCAGTCCTAATATCCAAAGTTTTGGTTTAAAACTCTACTCTGATAGTGTAGAAGGGTTTCCTATCTAGGTGATGGCTATCAGAATAGGGGTACCCAGGTTTTTTAATTCTAACAATATTTGCATAATCTCAAATGAGGTGCAATGAGACTAATAGTGCTATGAATAAAGCTTTTGCTAAATGGAGTTAATCAGTCTGAATGCAGAGTGCGCCCATATACCTCTTGGTTTTGATTGGGTGTTGATCAAAAGAACGCTTTCTCACTCCTGTCTAGAAGTTCCTCTTGAGAACCCGTTTTAAACTTCGAATTCACTTTCTGGTCCACAGCATATCAGAATTCCTCCCAACTTTAGAACCTGAGCAAAAGTGACACTTTGGGGAGGTGACATGTAAAATGCTGGTCAAAAGTGGGTGTGGTCAGTCTTAACATTGGGTGCAGCTAAACTGTCTTAGCCTACACACAGTATAGTATACATTTTTTTTTTTTTTTTTTTTTTGTAAACCTTAGCAATTAACCTTATGAACAATATCCGTATGTTTTGTATCTGCCTCAGTCCATAGCATCCAATGTGGATCCTAGTTTGCTATCTGAATCTATTACTTCTGACTGGTTTCCTCCAACACCAAGCAATCTATGGTAAGAGCCTGGAGGTTTAACTTATGTGGAAGGATTTGGTATATCACCTGATGCTTGCCATTTCAATGGGCTTATGTGAGGTTTTTCCACTTTTTTTTTTTTTTACAAATTTTCCTTTAAAGCATTACTCTGGGCAAAAACTTCTTTGTGTCCTTGTTGATCTCCTCATTTCACTCAGTAGTTGCTCTAAAATGGCCTATTCATTTTCAGATCAAACTGTTTTTTTTTCTGTTTGGTTTCTTGTTTGCAATTTGTAAGACTAGCGGCTGCTCTGCCTCCTATTCCCCCAGCCACAAGTCTTGGAACATCCCTTCTGTAGTTCCTTTCTGCAGGAAGCAGATGGCAGAGTGGTGGGAGGGACACAGTAGGGCCACCAATTTATAGGCTAACTGCAAAAAAAAGTAGGAGCAAATACAAGCAGTCACTTTGCAGAAGAGGAACAGCAGTGGCTGGTCTTTATTACATGAAGCAGCGGCAAGGTTTCTGAATGCTGAATTACTGCACAGATCTGGAATAAAAATAGAGAGCAACAGATTCAAATAAAAAAAACACTTTTTTGTGGCAAGACGATTTGCTTACCCTGGAGTTCAGCTTTAATTATTATAGTGCTACACGTGAGTCTGACAAATGCATAAAACGCAGTACAAATGATCACTTTAATGGAACACTTTCATTACACATTTCTTTCTTCACACAGAATATATAATCTTTAAGGTGGGTTTAAAGTGTTCACCTTTTGTAACATGTTACACTTGTACTCAGCATGTAATATGTTAATGCAGCTGACTCTTGTGGCCCCCCCCCCCCCCCCCGGGATATATTTTAGAATGGGATTGTGTGGAATTTTAAAGGGTGCTTTGCCTGAACAAAGGTTGACAGACACTGACTGGCTCCATCTGTCAGTGCTGCAGAGAATGTACCTGGTGTCCATTCTGGTTGTAGAATCCATCATATAGAAAATAAAACTTGGATCACACTCTGCCGATTTGTCAGATAACATTTCCATTGATTGAAATTGTCATATAAGGACATGAATCACAACGCCAACCATGAGGACAGTTGATGCATTTCACACAAAAACATGCTTACTCATAGCATAGAATCCATCATAGTCTAGAGTCCCTATATGAGTACTGTGACATGTCACATAGCTGGGGCTTCATGATGAGGAAGGGGGTTTGTAGTGCTTTGATGGTCCTTTCCCAAGCAGCCATCATAATGCCACAACAACCCTATCTGTCCCCTCATGTAGCCTGCTTCTATAGGAAGGAAGGTGGTCTGCAGCACATGGAGGTAGGGATGCTATGCACTGCAGTGGTTGTACAGTAAGGGAGAAAGTGGGGCTACAACTCTTTGACAATGACATTAGAAGGGGGAGGGGTTTGTGCCACAGTGGTGACTGACTGAGGGGGGGGGGGGGGTGGTAGATGGAGGGGTAGGGGTAGTAGGGTCTGTAGTACAACAATGGCTGGTATTGAGTCTATAGCATAGTGGTAGCTGAGGAGTTTTGAGTCTGCTGCACAGTTGCTGCCAAGTGGGGTGAGATCTGTGCCACAGCAGGGTCTGTGGTACCTGGGAGATGTTTAAAGCCCAATGGTGACTGAGGGTGGGGGCTTTGGCCCAACAGTGGCCACGGGAGTGGGGTTTGTGCACATATATATATATATATATATATATATATATATATATATATATATATATATATATATATATATATAGGGGGGTGTGGTCTTTGGCACAGCAGTAGCTGAGGTGAGTGGGGTCTGTGCACAGTGGTGGCTGAGGGGGCAGGGTGTGTGATACAGTGGTGGCTGAGGGGGCGGGGTGTGATACAGTGGTGGCTGAGGGGGCGGGGGGTCTGTGCACAGTGGTGGCTGAGGGGGCGGGGGGCTGTGGCACAGTGGTGGATGAATGGCGGTGGTGTCTGTGGTACAACTGTGGCTGAGGTGAGTGTGGTCTGTGGCACATTAGTGTGAAATGGGTGACAGTATATACAATACTTTTTCTCATTTGAATACACAACTGTCCGATACTGCAGGCTACATACTTCCCACGTAACTTGTCTTTCAGGTCGAACAGTTTGATTTTCACAAACACGTAGAAAAAAAAATGTACACGATGTGCCCTCAAGTGAAATGGCTGCCGAGCCAGCAGACGAGGAAGCGCATGCGCAAAGCTTTCTTTCTTCAGACAGCGCCTTGCCCTTTATTCATCTCCTAGCAACCATGTCCTTGCCACCCAATTGGCTGCTGCCCAGTTTCCGCTCTTTTCAAACTAGCGGCAGAGCGGTTGGTTGTGAGAAGAACGTTCTTGTCCGCCGTTAAACTGCTGAGCTCACCATGGAGGGGGAGGAGGTGATGGCGCCCCCGGCGGACCCTTCTCCGCCCTCCGACAAAGTGAAGTCTAAAAAAAGAAGTGTCCCGAAACGGAAATCCTCCATCACCAGCCTGGCTGGACAGACCTCCCCGGACAGAAGCAACGGCAGGAGGTAGGAGCGATGGCGTCCTTCATAGAGGATGGCGGTGGGAGGAGGAGGGCTTCTAGGACGGAGGGCCCCTGTACAGCGGGTGTTGTCTGTTCATGGCTGGTGTGTGTCTGGGTGTGATTGTGTTATTATTCTACATCTCAGCATCTACACACCGAGCAGCCATACCATTGTCACCACTGACAGGTGAGGTGGAGATGACATCTGAAGGTGGGTGGGATGTATTGGGCGGTAACCGAACATTTTGCCTCCGCTGGAAGCGGAAAAATGGGCAAGCGTCTGACCAGGGTCAGATTGTAATGGCTAGATGACCAGGTCAGAGAACCCCCAGAACTGCAGCTCTTGTGGGATGTTCCCGGTCTGCAGTGGTCAGGACCCACCAAAAGTGGTCCAAGGAAGGAGGAGCGGTGATCAGGTCATGGGTGGCCAAGGCTCATTGATGCATGTAGGGAGCAAAAGCTGATCCATCTAATCGGGTCCAATAGAAGACCTACTGTAGCTCAAATTGCTGAAAAAGTTAGTTTGGGTTCTGACAGGTGTCCGAGCACAAAGCACATTGCAGTTTCTTGTGCATGGGGGGATACATAGCTGCAGACTGGTCAGGGTGTCAGTGCTAACCCGTGTCTACAGCCAAAAGCTCTTACAATGGGCACATGAGATTCAGAACTGATCATGAAGCAATGGAAGAAGGTGGCCTGGTCTGATGAATTCAAGAATGGTTTGAGGAACACAACAACAAGTTTTAATATGTTCACCTTTCATAACATGTCACACCCACATCATGAGCAGTCCTCACGTCCCCATTGCCGGCTTGTAGTTCTCAATGTGCTCAGGGTGCGGGTGAGCGCTCTAGGTAGTTCGTTGATGCTTCCTGTCATTCAATAACTGTCTGCCCTCATGAGGTTTTGGCAGACAGCTACACTGATAGTTAGCAGAAGCCTTGCATTGCACCTGCAGTCTTATGATTTCAGGTGTAATGTTTTACAAACTCCTAATTTAAAAAGAAAAAAAACCTTTTTTTTTTGCCTGCGTAAAGATGTGCTTTTATTTATTTTAGATGGGTGAACTTATCCTTTAAAGGATCTGCTACTGACACTTTAGTGCCGGATACCACAGCATACCTTCAGAGGTCTAATGGTGCCCATGTTTCAACGGATTATGGTGGGTGGTCATCATGTTATGTCTGATCAGTGTGTGTACACCTGACTGTGATATGGACTGGTGAGGGATGAGTGTGGATGGAGGTAGACACGTGCACATCATCCTGTGTGGTAGTGCCAGGTTTGTACATAGAAGGCATGTGCAGCGCTCTCTGCTCATACTGGGAGTAATGGACTATCAGCTAATAGAATCCATCCTGATCGAATTTTAAATCTTTTTTCTCTTCTTCTTTTACTTTATTGAATTGTCAGTGTGACATTTCATTCATTTCAATGCACCACAGCTGAGCTGCAGTGTGTAGAAACACAGAGATAAATGGAGCAGTGAGTGAGCTGCGATGCAGGACGGAGAAATGCAGACTTGCGGATGTTTACACCATAAAAGTCTGCATTAAAGTGTGAACAGGGCACGAGATGGTGTTTCATCACTGGACCATGTACAGGGGGGAGAAATCGTTAAGGCACCTTTCACATGTAAAGTGAAAGATACTCCTGCACTACCTACATGTGACTACAGTATATAGTGAAGGATATATATAGAGCTGCTGCTGGCATCAAAAATTGTGTTCTCACAACATAAACAAACTTAATGCTGCGCTGCTAATGTAAAGTATAAGTACCAAACCATCAACCAATTTTATATATAAAAAAACCATCAAATGTACATGAAGACGTGCATAAATCATATAAATGTATAAAACACAATGTCCATAAAAACAAGTCCGTGCAATTTGAATTAGAGCGGTGAATGTGGTTAAAGTTTTACATCAGCTTCCTTCACAATTCCATAGGATTTCTCACATGCTCATATAGCCATCACCATCTCTTAAAAGTCCTGTATACATGCAGGTTGTGCCACCTCAGTACTAGTAATAATTTAGGGTTTCTCCACTCTCCTGGTCCTCCACCATTTTAGAACCATTGAGGGCCCTCCTTCCTTTTTCTTAATCTCAGGACCCAGTTGGAAAAAGTGTGTACAGGGCACGATATGGTGTTTCATCACTGGACCATGTACAGTTGTGTTCAAAATAATAGCAGTCAGACATCACTAACCTGATCAATCACTGTTTTTGGTAGAAATTATATTTCTGCATGGCAAATAATTTACTAGCAGGTGTAGTAGAGTAATAGAAATCCAACAGACCCAACAGTCATGACATGCATGCTGCTGATTCTGTGTAATTGAATCACTAATTGAAAGGGGCATGTTCAAAATAATAGCAGTGTGGAGTTCTATTAGTGAGGTCATTCATTCTTTGAAAAACAGGGGGAAATTATTGCCCTTATTTAAGGAAGGAAGGCAGCAAATGTTCTACATGCTGGTTACAGTGCATTTCTCTCTGAAATTCTGAGGAAAATGGGTTGTTCCAGACATTGTTCAGAAGAACAGCGTACCTTGATTAACCACTTGACCTCCAGAGGATTACCCCCCCTTAATGACCAGGCCTCTTTTTACTACTCGGCGCTGCGCTAATTCAACTGATAATTGCGCGGTCATGCAATGCTACACCCAAACAAAATTTATGTCCTTTTTTTCACACAAATAGAGCTTTCTTTCGGTGTAATTTGATCACCTGTGCGCTTTTTATTTTTCACGTTATAAACAAAAAAAAGCCAAAAATTTTGAAGAAAAACAAATATTTTTTACTTTCAGCTATAAAAAATATATAGTAAACTCAAAGTTGGTTATAAATTTAGGCCACAATGTATTCTGCTCCATGTTTTTGGTAAAAAAAAAATCCCAATGAGTGTATATTGATTACTTTGTGTGGAAGTTATGGCGTCTACAAACTATGGTATAAATACTGCAATTTATGCCATTTTTCTGCTATACAGCGCTGCGCTAGTTTAACGGACAATTGCGCGGGTCATGCAATATGGTACATAAATGAAATTTTACCATCCTTTTCCCCACAAATTGAGCTTTCTTTTAGTGGTATTTGATTGCCTGTGCGGTTTTTATTTTTTGCGCTATAAAAAAAAAAAAAAGGCTGACAATTTTGAGGAAAAAAAACAATATTTTGGACTTTTTGCTATAAAACATGTCCAGTAAAAAAAAAAAAATGCAAAAATCAAATTTAGTCATAAATTTCTGCCAAAATGCATTCTGCGACATGTCTTTGCTAAAAAAAAACCCCCAAAAAACCCAATATCTATAAATTAATTGGTTTACGTGAAAGTTATAGAGTTTACAAATAGCGGGAAAGATACTGGGATTTTTATTTTTTTTTTTTTTTATACTAATGGCGGCGATCAGTGAATTATGGCGGCGATCAGGGACTTATGGCAGCGACTTATAGCGGGACTGCGGCGGACATTCTGACATTGGGGGGTACTGACTTGGGGTCACTGACATCCCCAAAAACACTAATACAGTGATCAGTGCAAAAAAAAACACACTGACACTGTACTAATGGCACTGGGGAGAAAGGGTTAACTTTATTTTGCAGGGAAGGGTTATCTGAGTGAGGGGAGTGTTTTACTAGGGGGCGGGAGGGGTGTACTGCAGGGAACACCGCTGATCGAGAGAGAGAAACTCTTCTTTCTCGATCAGCTCGTCCTCGAGCTGTCAGGGAAGTGACAGACAGCACAGCTACTGCAGCTGTGGTGTCTGTCACTGTTTGCCGCCGATCGCCGGGAAACAGTCGGTAAAGACCGGCTGTGACCCGGCAACTGACATCCGCGGTGGTGATCGGCGGGACAGATAGGGCGGCGGCGCGCCTTGCGCGTGCACACTGAGCTTAAAAAAAATAATAAAAAATCAGCTTTTACAGGCTTTGCTTTGGCTTTTTTTTTTTTTTTTTTTCTCTTACCCTGTAAAAACATCTGTTAGCCTATGTGACCATGCACACATAGGGGATTACAGGTATATTAGAAGAGGTGAATGTACAGGCAGAATAAAACCCCTTTACCAAGACATTCAGGAGAGGAGCTTTTGTAGCAAAAAAATGCCAAACGTGCCTAAACTGTAGACATGTTTCGTGCTTGAACGTTCATTCCAGTAGCCAGAATAAATAATATTCTGCCCAACAGAATTCATGAAGGCTCATGTTGTTGACGTGGCTAAACGTATGTGCAAAACGCAGCTATAGGTGTGTTTTTTTTAGTCTGCTTTTCTCCTGCCAGGAGAAAAGGTGTTCAAAGGAGCTGGTCAAATGTCCAGTGTGCATGAGGCCTTCAAGAAAATACATATCTCCGAGTTGACATGGGCCCATCACTTGAGTTTGTCTGGCTGTGAATAATACTATAAAGCAGTTTACCTTACTACTAGTTTTTCTGAAGCAATGCTTAAAGGGTAACTCCGCTTTCAAGGAAAAAAATGCAAATAAAACAAATATAGTAGATACAATTGCTACATAAGCCATATTGTAATTGGATGTTATTAAAAATTACCTTTCTTTTCAATCTGCAGCTCTGTCATTTACTGTGAAATTCAATGCATGATGGTAACCTGGAGGCTTCTATGCACAGGACTTTCCAAGAAGTCTGAGAATATGCATCAGATTTTAGGCATCCATTGCATCAAAAATGTCATATTGGGTTACTGATGAAGGGTTAAAATATATGTGAACCTTCACCTTGTAAAGCAACCCATTCAGTTTAAAAGAGTGATCACATAACCTCTGTTCTCAGCTGCATTAAGGAGATTAGAGAGCTGGAAGTGGAAACTGCAGGTAGGGGGACATGTCAGGAGGAGAGTCTTAGGCCACTGGAGGAGGACAGGCAGTGCCCCCAGCACAGCCAGAAAACTGACCATGCTAGGATATATGTGCTTCTATGCCTAATGCGGTCAGTTTACAATAGGAATGTGGGGAGATGGGCAGGATCACCAGGTATTTCATG